TTGCCACACAGAAATGGATTCTATAGACAATGCTTCTCTAAATCTGTCCAACGGTCATTGAATAGGAGTTATCACAATTTTCTTCTTTTTACATGTTTTTTGTTTCCTTAATTGGAATTCAAACCATTGACAGTGTGATCAGATTTAAATCATTGAAAATAAATAAAGGGGCATGTCACTATTTTATCTATACAAGTTGCGGTGCTAGCTGTTATTCTTGTGGGTGAATGAAATTGATTTATTAAATTGTATGAACGAAAAAGACTAAGTATACTTGATTAGAATAAAAGTAAATTGACATTAAAGTCCCCCACACATTAGCCCTTATTACACTTTACTAATTTACACAGTATCTCTCTAATAATTTTCAACATTATTATAAAGCTGATGGAGGACAATATAGAATAAACAATAATTGCTCCAGTTCCACACAGGAGATTTCATAGTTAGTTCTAAAGAGGCTGAAATTCTTTCTTTCTTGATTTAAGTTTTTACATTAGGATTATAGTGCATTTTCTCTCAAAAAACTACCAACCCTTGTTACAAAAATTAAAAAAACTTCATATTTTTTTAACCATGCTCTGTTATGCACAAAAAGTCTATTGACTATTCAAGAATAGTTCAATTTCTAATTCTTTATTTTTCATCCCTTAAGATGAACACAATAATTTTGGGAATGAATTTTATAAATAATATACTTACCTTATTATTGCAAGAGTGGTGCTCTGTTGTCCATTATCTAATTTAAATAAATATTATTTGGAATTTCTTCCAAGGTCTTATAATCTAATGCTTGCTCAATAGAAGCAAGGGGTCTACAAATTCTTGGCTGTCATCTCTTAAATATTAGCGAAACAGCTATCTGTCTTTTAAGAAAGCAGGTAGGTAATAATATCTACCCTTTGTAATAAAAAACTTTTTCGTATACCTATTGGTATCTATGACACAAAATTTATCATTATACATTGCCAATGTATCAATGTTTGATTAAGAACATACATACATAACTTTACGGCGTATAATATAATTATGTAAATCTTATTATCATAAGGACAAAGCTTTTACTTTAAAACCCTTTTTCGGAAAGGAATATAATATGTCGAATGTCAAATATTCTACATATTTTAATTCTCTCTTAGAATATAAATACTGAGGTATATGTATGTATAAGTGTGGCTATGAAAGAAACATTTAAAATTGTACCAGAAATAAAGATTACATATCCATAATACTGCAAGACAAAAGAAGACTAGGTACTCTTATAATATTTCTGCATTGTAAAGTTAAAGGAAAATTTGTAAAACAAAACACTTTCTATAAATACAATTATTGCATAACTTTGAGTCATAATTAATGTGTCGTAAACGTGTATTCTTCCAGTTAATCAAACATTAATACATTTAATCTAAATAACCGCGCTTTTGAAACAGAATTAGGACACGTTAGGGCTGATAAATACTTCAAACATCAGCATTACTAAATTGCTAAATTACAAACAAATATAAGATATTTCAGCTCAGACATTCATAGCACAATCAAACTAGTTCTATGACTTGTGGATTTGTATCGATGGATTGGGAGGTACAGAAGGTTGATCATCATCTTGATTTAGTTAAATGCTGAATAAAACAAACGTATATACAGTCAAACCTGGATAAGCGAGAGTTAAAGGGAGCACAATCTCATTCTCCCTTATAGAGGTTTCTCACTAACCCGAGTTTCTCACTAACCCGAGTTTCTCACTAATGCAGGTACATGGGTAGCGTTTCTCTCTCATAGAGGTACGCAGTAATAACAAGTCACAGCAAGTACGAATGTAGTAAATATTATGTAATATGATAAAATTATGTGTATATATATTTCATTCACAACATTATGTACATATATATTTCATTTTATTTAGAACTTATTTACACTTTAAAAAATCCGTAAATTTCGTTTGGGTTTCTGTTTTTGTATTTTGAATGTTTTTTTCTAACTCATAAGTTTTGCCGAATATTGCTTATATTTTTATTGTAGCTACAGTTTCTCCTAAATAATATAAATAGATAAAGCTCGACTGTCGCTTATAGAGGTATAGATAAGTAGCAGTCTCACTTACGGAGTACGACGAAAAACGACTCTCTCTTACAGAGGTTTCTGTTTCTCGCTAATAGAGGTTTTGGGAGCTTAAAATGACGGGTCCCTGCTATTACTTCCACTTATAGAGTTTTCTCACTTATCCAGTTCTCACTTACCCAGGTAAGACTGTATTATGTCTGACCCCATTGGAAAAATTTTAGTCCACAGAAAAGCTATACTGAAAATGGAATGAATTCTTCATTTACTGAAGTTAGTTTAGTACTTGTTTCGACACAAATTTTATTTATAACTCATAAAATCCCTAGTGTGTGAGACACGGCTTGGCCTGACAGTGTGCAAGCCTGTTTAAAAGAAGCCGTGTAACGGAGTACTAAGGAATTTCACCCCTAAACCAAAAAATTTTGATAATGCTAAGACGTTGAAATACTGACGTAGAAATACGTAGTATATTTTTGGTTTTGTTATTGTTTTGTCTTCGTGCCAGCCCTGAGCACGGTTAGTTAGCGTTGGCCGGCCGCCAAAACGTCCCGGGCCATTTCATTGTTCCACCACTACTCGCTACATCGACTAGAAACTGATACAAGCTCTTGCATTCTACCTCTGATTTCTGCACATTCCTCAATTCCAATGGATATCAAATTATTGCTGTCCCCTTCATTCCGCGGTCATCGATTTATTTGCGATAAGCGCTTTGCCAGTATTTCAGCTAAAATGCTGACAATTTACATCGTGTGAAAGTACTCGTATAGGTATATCTATTTACGCCTATGTTCCATCAAGCGAGTGTTTTTTTAACGTAGGTTGGTGCGAAAGTTTTTATTTTATAATCTTGCAATATTGGTGTATGATTTGCACAAAATGTTTAAAGTTATAAAGGCCTTTAATTTGTTAACATTACTTTGTACTTTTTGGGTCTCATTTTTTGAGCGACACCCAATGTGTTGCCAGCATTCGAGGGAGGAGTATTCTCTTTTTATAACAATTGGACGTCGTATGTCCTAGGGAAGACCCCCACCGGGAGTCGATTCCGAAGTTAACTAGTTTGCAAAAGAAAATGTCTTAAGAATCGGACCGTGGTTAACATCCAGCCATCAAGCCATATTTTACTCAACGGAAAGATTGAGTATCTAAATTTATATATTTTTTGCGCGTTAGTGTTGTGTCGCTACAATTCACTATTTCATTCGCGCACACAATATTTACACACACACAAGAATCCATTTTATTTGATAAAAATTAATTACTTAGTATTGTCTTTGATTAACATAACTTTTATTCATTTAATAAAACACCGTGACACGCGTGTAAAGCACGCGAAACGTCGGATAAATTTAAAATTATGTTAAATAGTTGTAAATTTATAATAATACATAACTTCAATCCGGTCAAAATAGTGTTTTATTAAATTAATTACTTTTATTCTAATACCTCCAAAAGTAATTCGCTGACTGCAAATCATTCGAAATGTCGAGTTACGTAGATAGTCTGTTATAATAGTACTCTGTACTTCAAACTACCCGTTAAACCAAAGACAAGGATTGCCTAGGCTTAGTCCATTTCTAAATATATGCATATAAGTTTATATAGTGCGGCGAATAATACAGATTACATTGTTAACATCATCGGAATGTAAAGATAGCTATTTCCATATACAGTTATATAGTATACAATTCGATTTATTTAAAATATTTCTTATAAGTAAAAAAATGTAAGGTCCTTCATGTAATCAAACCAATATTCCAAAGTAAAGGAGTATATTATATATATATAATGCTTTACGAGCAATCTTCATTGCAGTTATTAATACCCAAATATAGGGGTGTGTCTACTTATGGGCTTTTAGGGCTGCAACCCAGGGCTCCGTGGATACCCAGACCCATTTTTAAATAAAAAAATATCGGAAATTTTAAAATCCAATCTTTATTTTTGAATACCGGAGATCAATCAACTCATGTGCTATGCGCGTCTATCGAACGGGGAATTCCGCGTCGCTTGTTTTCGGAAGGTGTATTTTTCGCATGGCGTCTATTATAGTGGACTTCCCCGTAATAGCCCAGAGCACCACAAGGCACAAACTCACGACCCGCCCATGCCTACATTTACAAATTTGACCTTTACCTGTTTCCTTGTAATAAAGAAGGAGTAAGGTATTTTTTAAGCTAAATTTTTTTTTTTAAAGTTTACTTCAAAAAAATTGCAGATCTCAACAAATATAAAAACTTAATATAAATATAAAACTAAAAACACACGAAAATCGTTATATTTAAGCGTGCTCTAAAGTTACTGAGTAACAGCGCAGGTTTCTTAAAACAATTTCTTTTCTCCATCTACGCGCGCTCACTGGACCATGACGCAACTAATATTGAAACGGTTAGGTCATAAATAAGTTTTGATCTATAGATCTTTGTAGGAAAGGTCCGTCAGCACCGTAGCCCCGTAGTTTAACATCTTTTGCAAGTCATCATTAATTGTTGTATTTCAAACAATTTACATAAAGAAGTAAATTATTTAAAATCCTTCCTCAGGAATCATACTGAAACCCGTAAATTTTGGTATTATCGTGTTCATACAGATGCCAGACTTAAAATATATAAGGATTATTTGGAACAAATACTTGGGGCCAGATTTGGAGCATCACATTAACAGCATCTATGCCCATTGATTCATAATCGTCAGTGTCAGTATGATGTATGAACTCATTACAAAGGTATTATAAGGTAAAGCCAGAGACCACGAATCTCTTGCTACGGTCCCGACATCCCGCTTTATCCACTTTGATGTCATTCACCATGCATGCTCGTCGGTTATGGGTACTTTTAGAAGGTATTACCCGCTATTATTATTATTTATTAGGTACCCACATTAAGTAATTAAAATTTTAGATATTTTTCTAAGACATACATACATAATTAACTTCGCTATCTTACCTGTGTATTCCTGGTAAAGCCATAGCCTAGGAACCTCTCATCATGAGACGGTACGGTGTCTGACGCCACGTAGAAAGGTTCGTACAGCAACTCGAAGTTGGTAACATTGTGGCTGATATGAGTTTCAAGGCTTTCGTTGCCGCCAGTTGCCTCCCATCTACAATATGGTTTAAGCATTTATCGCTAGATGGCGTGGCAACCAAATAGTTATCTTTGTAAGTAGCTAGGTGCTTGAGACAAAGTCACTTTGCGACAGGCGTAACCCACTATTGCCAAATAAATTTTTATGGGAATGAATTTTCTCTGGGCCCAGGTTGAAATTAGAAGTTTTATGTAGAGTAGAGACTTAACGCTAAATATAATTCTCATGTTACTATCGTTCTGATTATGACTAATGGAACGTATTGGTCTTAGGTTATCACATAATAATGTATAATTTATATGAAACTAAAGTCCAAATAGAACAAGATATTTCTAGCAGCTTCAATACTTACTTGGTAAAATTCGATGCGTACTGATTATAAATAAATACTTTTCTATGGAACGGTATTGCTAATTTACTTCTCGATAGCCTCAGCAGTTCCTTCTTATTCGGAGGGAATATCACAACTCGCTTATCAAGCTCATATGTGGGAACTACATACGCACACAATTGGCACTTTGGTGCTTTCGTTAAGAACCTATCAAGTTCCTCAGCCATTCCTTTCGATGGTACTATGTCTATATCAACGAGAAAGGTGTATGGCGTGTGACAGTTCTTTCTCGCCAAATTCCGAAGGTGGTTCTGAGGATATGGATTTCTAGCCCTCCAAGCAACTGTGTCGGCTCGTCTCTCCCCAATTGGCAAAGGTTCCGCATTGCAGTTCCTCGCCCATACAGGTAGATTCCCTTGAATCCCCGGTCTAACGATCGGCATAGCGAGGTGTATCACTATTCGCGAGTACAGCTCTGGCTGACAACGTAACAGCCACATCGCAAACGCTCTAAGAAGTCTCAACTCGTCCCCGGCCACAAACACCGCCACCGAAATCGGACCTGACCAATGTACTGCAATTTGCAGAAGCTCGTGTAGTCTTTCAATAGAGCACTGAGTTGCGAGGCAGACCTGTCGATTCGCTGATACATCGACGTACAAATCACCAACAGCCACATAGTCAAATAGCTTGAATGTTCGGGAGCCGTCCCATCTTCCCAGATTCAAATCTATTTTGGATATAGGATCATCATCAATAATCGTGTTAGGAGCGGTATCGAGGCATGGCTCACATGTGCCTTCTAATACGGCAGGTTGGGGTGTGCTTGGCACAGAGCACGTTGGGCGAAGGAGCCATAGATTTGCCACTGCGTTATAAACAACAAGCGCCAGGGCTGCTAGTGATACTAAACTCCACTGTATCCGCCAACGCCACTGAAATTACATTGCTTATAAAGTATGAAAATAGTACGCGTTAATGTGTGTAAATATAACGCTTGTCTGTCTATACCATCGTATCTCGTAAGCACTTGAACTATGATTGAGAATTATATTATACCTGTATGAATTTTCGTCTACTATTAGTTTGGTAATATGAAATGACGTATTGGTAGTAATATTATTTGGTAAAATATCACCATGTAGGAATGTAATACTTACAATCGAATCTCTTCTCAACTTCGCCATCGTCCATGTGTCTCGAAAGTATATTGTTGATTTTGTACCACCAAAATATGTAGAGATTAAAAATACTTTGAGATTACCTATGGTTGTATACTGAAAGAATACAAGGTTGGGCCTTAAGTAAACACTGAGACGTAAGATTCGCATAATTAAAAGGAAAATATAGTACTTTACTTAGTTTTGTTTTAGCTCTTGCAAAGTATAGTTTATTTTAATTTCAGAATAAATTATATTTATTTAAAGCACATACCTGTTTTAGTATCCCATTAAACACAAATACTTATCTAATAATTAATTTCCATATCAATTGCACACCACTACTTTATGTATGCGATAAGTACATTATACTATAATGATTTAACTATTAGTACATAATTGTTTATACTTGGGTTAGGAAGTATCATATTTATGATGTAAATTGTGTTATGGTGCACATAACAAGTGCAGCTGTGCTGAGATGTTACGATTCTAAAGCGCATGTGCCTCAAATATACATGCGCAGTAAGTTCCGTTATGCTTTTGTCGATTTATAACAAATTAAGTTAGATGATGTTTATAACAGCTAATGGCGCCAAACTACGAAAAACTTTATATTGTTTTAATTTATTAAACGAATGAAGCCACAGATTAACTTAATGTTAAAAATAAATAAAATTATTTATCTGTGTCATGTTACTTGATGGATCGCTGCGAAGTGTCAACAGTCAAACTAATATGTTCGAACTTCGAGCCTCTTTAAGTTTTGACTTACCGAATTGTCATTTATCACACTATTTCATAAATATTTATTATTGACTAGTCTCCTGTCTCCGTAATCTTAAATTATAATAAAGAAAAACAATGTCGCCTTTCATTGCGTTTGTTTTTAATTTTTAAATGCCTAAATACTAAGGACTTCAATTTATTTATAAAATATATCATTTTAGAATGAACAATAACCGTAAATACTTACAATGTACGCCTTCAACACCAAAACGACGTAGACTTGGAAATAGTAAAATCGCACGTTTAACTCAGACCCGCGGGAGTGTGAAACATAATGTAAATACTTCTAAACATATACAAATTAGAGAAAACTGTGACTCACCGCCGTTACCATGCAATCAAGTAGAGTACCTGTGCGATTCAGATAGTCACAGTTCCGTTTGCAGCGATATTCCATGTTCTCCTGGTGTTTTAGAAACTTGCAATATACTTGATAATATAGACAACTGGAAGAGTTTTGTAGATTCTAAAACTTCTAGAGAAGATAGTCTATCAATTAGTATAGCCGAAGATGCATTTAAAGAAAGTTTTCATTCAAATAATCACTACAATAATGATAAACAAAAAACTGATCAATTTAAGGAAGATGTAGAAAACAGCTTTAATATTATTAATCAATCTATATGTAATAACGACAATGCTCATTTTGAAACTAAGGATTCTTTTTTATTAGATATAAGGGAGAGTGGAATTATTGACAATAAGTTTCCTACTAATAAAACAGAACCAAAGAATAATCAATTTAATAACTTTTATGGTCTACCTATATTAACAAAGGGGCTATTTAAGTCTTATCGAAATATAGAAAAGTTTTATGGTAAGTAGTTCTTATAACACTGTTTTGTTACAACAAAAAATATAGTCAGATATAGAACTCCTTATTCTAAAGAACTTTTATATTTAGACTGGCAAGAAGAATGTTTAAATTTAAATGCAATCAAAGAAAGGCAAAATTTAATATATGCCCTGCCGACAAGTGGAGGCAAGACATTAGTGGCAGAGGTGCTAATGCTACAAGAGGTGTTAGTTCGCAAAAAGAATTCCTTATTTATTCTGCCTTTTGTAGCAATTGTGCAGGAAAAGGTATGTGGGCTAACATACATAATCAGTATAGACTTTCTGTTTTAAAACTAGATCCTAATACTAATACTTTAAGTAATGAGTACCCTTAAAGTTATTTATTTAAGTATATTGAAAGTAAAATAGCACTTGTATCTAAATATAAAAAAAATATATCTAAAAATGAGTTTGTTTTCTGCGTGAAATGAATTTATGTAATAAAATACACTATGTTTTTTGTTGTCTATGTATTTATATCAATAATTTATTGATGATTATAGGATGATGCTGTTTTATTTAATTTTTGGCTTAGAAAACAGTTAAATAGTTTTTAAATTATGGGTATCAACTCACTTCTGGACAATACAAGTACCTATGTAAATATATATTTCATCTCAATTTTATGATATTATTTTAAATCAGTTTTATGAAAAATAGTACCCCAAGACTTTAATTAGGGATATCCTCAAGCGTTGTTGGGACTTATTGGATTGTGAAGGTATCACAACATCTAATTTCACAATTTAATAAGTCCTTACAATACTGAGTAAATCCCTCTTGAGCTACCTTACTACAATGAGCTTCTTTCAGATATGGGCACTATCTCCATTTGCAATACAATTAGATTTCTTAGTAGAAGAATATGCAGGTGGTAAGGGCCACTTACCTCCTAAGAAAAGAAGAAGAAAAAATAGCATATATGTAGCAACAATAGAAAAAGGGCTGGCCTTGATTAGGAATCTTATAGAATTAGATAGATTAGATGAAATTGGTTTGATTGTTGTGAGTATGCACTATTAATAAAATCGATAAACACTTTTTTATGTAGTTCATAACTTTTTAGATGATTAAATTGTATATCTCACAAAGGAACTGACACACAATGTTATATCTCACTAGTTTACCTGGCAAATGTTTGTTTTGCCATGTATATTATTATTTCTAGAAAATTTTTTTTTAGTTCAATAAAAATAACTATCTACAATAAATAGGGGTTGATCGTAGAGGGGTGAAAATTAGGGGTTGTATGTATTTTTGTATGATGTATCATAAAAAATAAAAACAAAAAAAAATGTCAATTTTGCTGAAATTATGTTTATAACTTAATTATTAAGCGATATAATAACAACAATAGAAAAAGCTGGATCGATTTTAGGTAGATGAATTGCATTTAATTGGGGAACCAGGAAGAGGAGGTACTCTGGAAACTCTGCTTTCAACTGTGATATTTGCTAAAAGTAAGTATTCAAACAGTGAAATTATATACTTGCTATTACTTGAGAGCCTGTTCCTCTAGCCCACGTACCTGAACCCCTAGCCCACGTACCTGAACCCCTAGCGCACGTACTTGTATAGCCGGTTTGACCTTCTGTCGGACGGGCGATCTTGTTACCATAATTCCATACCTTGATATTTGAATTTCGTACATCAAAACGTTACATCTAAAATAATGAGTTGCAGCATAATTAGACACTTATGTCTGAAAACAATAGTGTAAGGTTGAAATCTCATTTACATATTAGGTGTAATAAATTATATATATTTTCAGAAGGCATACAGATAGTTGGCATGAGTGCTACAATAGGCAATCTCCCAGATTTAGCTGGCTTTCTCCAAGCAGATGTCTTTCAAAGACAATTCCGTCCCGTGGAACTGACCGAGTATGTAAAGCTTGGTGATATGTTGCACAAGATCGTTTGGAGTTCTGGAAATATGGAGTTGGTACCAGATCGGAAATTAGCTTTTGATGTAAGGTCATTTAGTTTACTTTTCACTATATATATATAACTAATAAATTTAGCTCTGGATTAAAAAAAACAATTTGCAAAAAGAATTAAAGCTTAATGCGTTGAATTAAAGAAAGCTATATAACCTCGCAAAAAATTCTTGGAAATCATCGTGAAACGGAAAGGTTGCGTTAAATTTTGATTGTTTGGACGAAAAATGACGCGTCATGTCGGGTGTCAACGCGTGTTTTTATGGTGATAAATGGGAGCTGCCTCAGCATGACTAAGGCCTGAAGATAAAGTGCCTGTGGCAGACTAATCACATTGGCTTTTAAAAAAAAATATTAAAGTTAATTAACAAATAAACAAATCCAAGGCCGAGGATTGTCCCGATTTAATTTGATTATAGATGGTTTATTTTGTGAGCATAATGCCAATCACTTGTACCGTAGGCTCCTTGTATAATATACGGCATATTTTACCAATAAAAAAATAAATTATCTACGCTACGATCAATAGGAGTATCAAAAAAAACGTAACCAAAACGTATAAAATATTTCCATTAGAGAGCTTGTCTTAGTATGGTTGTAGGTTCGATCCCCGGTTGTGCGCCGATGGACTGTGTTACTATAGGCGCATTTATCATTCGCTCGAACGGTAAAGGGAAGCATCGGGAGGATACCGGCTTGTGATTATAGATAGTTTATTTTGTGAGCATAATGCCAATCACTTGTACCGTAGGCTCCTTGTATAATATACGGCATATTTTACCAATAAAAAAATAAATTATCTACGCTACGATCAATAGGAGTATCAAAAAAAACGTAACCAAAACGTATAAAATATTTCCATTAGAGAGCTTGTCTTAGTATGGCTGAAGGGTAAAAAATTACGGATTCGAAATTAAAAATTATTTTTGTGATAGTCCATTTATTGAGAAAAATACACCGCAGGACACAGTATGTATATCAATCTTTTACAAAAATACGTACAAACTATTCCATAATGTTTCCAGTACACAGAAACTGGGTACAAAATGGATCCGGACTTGGTGGGAGGATTAGTGAGTGAAGTGGTGCCACAAGACAGTTGTCTGGTGTTCTGCCCCACCAAAAGGAACTGTCAGAGTGTCGCAACACTACTCTGTAATATGCAGCGCAGGTAATATTTAATCGACAATTAAACTATACACAAATACAGGTACTTATACACTACACAGCAGGAGCAGTATTGGCCTAGTGGCTTTAGCGTGCGACTCTCTTCCCTGAGGTTGTAGGTTCGATCCCCGGTTGTGCGCCGATGGACTGTGTTACTATAGGCGCATTTATCATTCGCTCGAACGGTAAAGGGAAGCATCGGGAGGATACCCTTCTTGTCTTAGACCCAAAAGGTCGACGGCGTGTGTCAGGCACAGGAGGCTGATCCCCTACTTGCCTATTAGATTGACAATTATCATGAAATAGATACAGAAATCTGAGACCCAGACCTAAAAAGGTTGTAGCGCCACTGATTTGTTTATACACTACACACAAGCGTAAAAAGAAGAATTAACTTCAACTTCAATACTGTTTGGTAGTCTGGTAGCACTAACAAAGTATCATCAAAGAGACCTATCTAAAAAAATATACTATACCTTAAAAACTTCTAGAGTGGGTTGCAAACATACCAGCCCCAGTAATCTATTAACTGTCGAATTCATTTCTTAATCTCACCTCACTTACCTTAACGATTACGTATATTTGGCCTCTCCCAGTGAAGTCAAGTAGTGGAGTCCGATTACGGAGTCACCCTACTACACAATTCCTTGAAATTAAAAATAATATTATTGTCTATTCTTTTTTGTTTTAAAACATGAGTCTTATTTCAACTCAGAGAACACCGAGGTTACACATTTGTCTGGTGTGGTGACTTATCGCCTCATTATTATTTTACAGTGATATGATGTCCCACCGTGTACAAGATCGTATAGCGCTACAAAGCGCGTTACGTACGGAAGGATCGAGTGCGGACTTAGTTCGTTGCGTACGCGCAGGTATCGCATATCATCACGCGGGACTAGCTTCTGACGAACGGTGTCTACTGGAACAGGCTTTTCGGTTTGTCATTTTGATTATAAAAATATATATCTATATGTATATATATATAGTAAACTGACGTTTACAAAGACTATATCTTGTACATAAAATTATTTAGTAAAATTGTAGCGTGGTGTTATTTTCGTTAAATGTACGATTTTGAGAAAAACATCTCGCATTTCTTTTGAAAATTGACATAGGTCAGGCACTGTCATAGTGACAAGTATATGAAAAGGAATGCTTATACTCTCATTTTTAATTCCGTAGAATTGTGACAGCTATAATTTTTGACATATCAGAGATTACAAACCTTTTTGGCCGGGCACATTTTTCAATTTCGATACGAGTCTGAACATCTGACTCTATACATAGATTTTATTTGTTAGTGAATGTATCCATTTTATTAAGTGAGGTGCTCCACATTAAAAGTGGTTTTACGGTGACTAATAATTACGTCCCTTTTCATCACAAACAGTAACAAACGCACAAGTGTTATTTTATTGTTTTAAAAAGGTTTAGTAAACCTGGAATTGGTAGGCAGTAATGTTAGCCAAAGAAAGATTTACCTTTTTGTTAAACATGAAAAATACGGAGCATTTTTTTGCCCTCAAATTGATTAAATTTGTCCCTTTTTCGACGTAGAATTTTTTTAGTAGCAACGCTTACGAAATGTCAGAATTCTACGAAATGAAAAATCAGAGTATAGGTGATTTAGCCATGTAGAACGAATGAATGACAAGTAGGATTTACAAGGCGACCATTAGTTGAGTAGGCTTTGTCGTACAAACCAGGACTTTGACCTGGATTTGGTTCAGGTATGTACGACTGTATCCTTTAAGACGTACTAGAGATGGGACAAGTAGTCATAACCCACACGTATGGATGTTGGGACCGTAGCAAGTGGAGATCCGAAGTCTTTGGACCCATTCGGGAAAAAGGCGCGAAGATCTTTCATAACTTGCCGCCGCGAGTAATTTTCAGTAATTGTCATCACCGAAAGTCTAAATAAATTCCCGTTTATATCCGTTAAAAGTTAAGTTTATTGACCCCTTTGCATAACCGAAGGAATTTTTGAAGTTATACTTCTTTAGGCGCGTTATGAAAAATTTATGAGAGTGAAATTTTACGATGCGCGCGCAGCTGTGACACAAAATTGGGAGTGTGATTATAGCGTGCGCGAGCGAGATAGGAATAAGACAATCTACAAGTAAAAAGAAATAGAATATGCGTGAAGTTCGTATGCCAAGAATTTTGAATGACCATAATGACATTTGTCATTTACCTTTTAAACAAATAAAGGAGTTTTGATTAATTTTTCAAAGAAATTTATTAATTTTATATTGTGCAATACTGCCAAAGCTACAACATACTTCTTAGTGTTTGGTAGAGATGTTCTAAATATATAATTATATATACTTTTAACTAAATAGAATTTATGTTACACTTAATGTAAGAGAATAATAATAAATAATTATTTATTTAATTTTTCAAATGTAAACTGAACTTAATTGACTATAATGACTCCTTTTCCAGTCTTTGATTATTTAATTGTAATTAATTATTTGCATGCAATCAAAAACTATTTTTAATAATGCCAAAGAAGTATAACTTCTTACGCGCGTACATAAGTACACGCACCCTTTTTTTTTCCAGATCAGGTGTAATCTCAGTTCTATGTTGTACGTCTACGTTGGCAGCGGGCGTGAACCTTCCCGCCCGACGTGTCATACTACGAGCGCCTCTCGTAGGCCGTGAATTTATCTCGCTGTCGTCCTATCGACAAATGGTTGGTCGGGCTGGTAGAGCCGGCGTTTGTGATGCTGGTAAGAAGATACAGTATTGGAAATGCATTGGATTAGTTTCTTATACTATCTTAATATTTGTTTTATGTTTTATTTTTATAATACACAAGTAGGTGATCAGCCTTCTGTGCCTGATACTCGCCGATAATTTTTGTTTAAGGAATTCTGGTTTTTGATGTTGTTATCGTACGAGCCAGTGTTTGCACACATAGAAAGTATAGCTTCACAGCCGGAGTTCGATCCTATGATTTATATACCAAAGTTTTGCTATATTTGAGACTATTTTAGTATATAAACAGTTAACAGAAATCTATATTATGATTTTCTATCAACATTTTGAATAATTTTTTTTTTCTATTACATTTAATAGAAAAAAAAATTAAACACCATATCAAAATATCTTGTTTATAGAGCGAAGTGTTGATTTATTTTATATAATTAAATTGCGTATTTTATTTTTATATACTGTGACTTAAGTTTCTTGTACCTTAGGACTCCTGTCGAACCATCAAAACGAATTTATATTAATTAGGTTCCAAAACAGTAATTGTTCTAAACGTTTGACTTTTATGGCTATAAGGAGTCCTAATTCCTATTTAAATATGAATTTTCTAAAACCTTACAGGTGAAAGTATAATAATATGCGGGCCTCGGGAATGGCCGCAATTAAAGAACGTATTTTCTAGCGGTCTTCCTCCCGTGACCAGTCAATTAAGGCCCAATATCGCAAGCCTTCTTATCAGTGCGATTGCGTTAAACTTAGCTAATGATGTGAGAGGGTTGAAAGAATTTCTGGGATGTACTTTATTGGCTAAAACTGAGCTGTAAGTTGACTTTGATAAAACGTAATAAAAATAATAAACAGTTAAAAGATGTAATCTGGTCTGCCAAGCTGTTTCGTCTTCTAATAGATATGTTACCATGGTAACCATTTTTACATGAACATCGTTAACATACACAGAGGTCTTTTATTTATGTTCTTTGGTTATTTTGTTTTTTTTGTCATTTTTCATTTATGTAAATTTATCAAGGCGACACATTGGTTTTAGTTTGTGTAACTTCTTTTCTTTCTTTTTAGGTAACATTATTACACGTTAACTTATTAGTTAAACATTAAACAGCATGGCTACCCTGCAAGAAAAAAACTAATAATATGAATAAAATTACTTCTTTTGTTTTTAAATGTATGCAGAAATACCAACTAATCTAAAAATAGCACTAGTCTGTTAATCAAAACCAATTTTAATTGAAATTTAAGTTATATTTTTCAAATAGGTATAAAAAAATTGTATAATTTTTATTCTAAATCTAATAGGCTTTTACCCTTACAGAAGCCTCAATATAGAGGAACTATGCGAAGAAAATCTAATAGCGTTATTAAAGAGTGGTGCTTTGGAATTTGTCGGTAAAACAGGACAAATGACGGATCTGATTAATACCGACTTAAAACTAATTGTTAGCAAACTAGGACAGGCGGCGATAAAAAGTAAGTTTTGCATTTACTTTATTAGGCATCAATGATTTCAATTTTATATAAATAGTTTGACATGTGTTTAATCTTTGGAAATGAAATTTGACGTTCTTTCGTAGTCTGTGGTAAAGACTATACTAGGTAGATCAGCGTCAACCAAAATTAGGTGATAGAGCAGTGAGTAACCACAGAAAATTAATAAAAAAATCTGTCAAATTTTTACAATTGTTGCTATTCAAAAAGTTAATTTTACGCAACCTGTGATGTTATTATTGGATTCAAGTATGTGTTGAAAATATATATGTACTATGCAATTTTGCCAAGTAAAATAAATCGATGGCAACATTTAGTTTGAAATCTAAAGTAATTAAAAAAAAATTAAACAAAGAAAAATATTTCTTTTCGTTATTTTCGGGGCTTAACTACCTTCCGTATTTCTAAGCTTCGGCTTGACTTTAGTTTATGAACACTCTGTATAATGGTGAATATTGAAAATGTGTAGAAAAACTATCCATTGTGATAAGGGCTGAAATGTTTCACCGACCGATATATCATAATGAATCATAATGAAAACTCGAAAATGGCTGGACCGATTTGGTTAATTTTTATCTTGAAATATTTGTGGATGTTCAGTGTATAATATATAATAAAAACATAAATAATTAATTTTCCAATACAACAAATTTCTAACTTCAAAACATTTGATGTCTTTTGTTTCTTTAGAAAAAAATAATTTTCACTCGGTTGTTTAATATTTTAGACGCGTTCCGAAATTTGTTTGTTTCATAGCTATCGTAAGAGGTCTGATCATTTAAATCTGTTTTGAAAGCAGTTTTTTGTTACAGAATTATAAAAAAAGTGTAGGTCCGGGGCGCATCGGTAATTAAATAAAAAATACTTTTATTAAAATTGATTTTCAGTAGTTTCAAGACTCATAACGAAAAAATAAGTTAATTATTTAAATTCTATTAGTTTCATAGCTTAATCCAGAAACACGTAAAAAATTTCAGGTTGTCTAGAACTGGAAATAGCTCGGCAGTTACTCGAAGACATACATCAGGCGTCTCAAAGCTTAGTGCTACTTGGGAGCCTCCATCTACTCTACCTAGTAACCGGTGATACAGTAGTGCGGCCAGACTACCGGCACTACTACTCGCTGTATTGTAGTTTTGATGAAGAAGCATCGCAAACTGCAAGGGTTTTGGGTATAACAGAACGATATGCCGTTCGCATGATTACAGGAAAACCTATAACGGTGAGATTTTTATTATTTTAATAATTTCCTTAGTAAATGGTAGGAAAATGATAAAAAATATTAATGAACTCATTAATATTTTTTATCATTATCACATAACTATGTAGATGCAGAAATATCTGCCCCATGCTTCATTGGGATTTTTAATTCCGTAGAATTCTGACATTTCATAAATGTTGTTACTAAAAAAGTTCGCCACCAAAAAAAAGAAAAAATTTGCACATTGCAATAAAATAAAATGCTACGTATTTTTTTATGTTTTACCTACAAAAAGGTAAATATTAAGATTTTTTATTGTTTTAGTACAAAAAATATTATATAGTATATTGTTTTTTTTTTGTATTAGTACAAAAAAAAACAAATATTTCAATATCACGAACAATATATCGAATTAACTTTAATTACTTTATTTTATTATTTAGCTGGCATCACTACCTACCAATTCCAGGTTTAGTAAACCTTTTAAAAAAAATAAAATGTTAAAATGTTTTTTAGACAGTTTGGCCGCGCTCCACCACTATGTGGAACCAGCTGCCCACTGGAGTATTTTCGAAACAATTTGATTAAGGGTCCTTTAAGAAAAGAGCGTAACAATTTTTTATTTTTTTTAATAATATTTCAGAATATTCCTGAGAGAGTCCTACATCGTTTCTATATAGCTCTGATGCTTCGGGACCTTTGGAGACTTACTCCAGTCGCGGACGTAGCCGACAAGTCAGTACTGTACTTAATTTTTTTTTTTAAAGACAATTCACACCAATTGACCTAGTCCCATGCTAAGCTGGTGAAGCTTGTGTTATGGGTACTAGGCAACGGATATACATACATGCATATTATAAATAGATAGACATATAAATACATATTTAAACACCCAAGACCTAAGCACAACACCAAATGCTCATCACATCGATGTTTGTCTCAGCCGGGGATCGAACCCGGGACCCATGGATTCGCAGTCAGGGGTACTACCCACTAGACCAATGAGTCGTCATATTGTGTCCGTACTATTTTCTATTACTCTGCTTATAATAAATAATTGTAATTTAGTTACCCACAACACAGGTCCTCCCTCCCTAGGGTGGAGACTAGCGTTAGATCAATTTTGTCACAATCATATTTCTGTCATGGATAAATTATTATTATTTTTATTGTAAGAAATTATTATAAAATAACACTTAGGTAGATCTGACTTTTCAAGTACAGTATAATCTCACTAATTCGGCACTTCGATAGATCGGCACGTCCAATAATCCGGCACCCTCCGCCCACGCCTCCCTCACCCCTCTATATCTGTGCGCTTCGGTCGCTGCGTCGTCGACTAGCAGTCTAACCTCAAAACGTATCACGTGCACGTGCTAACGTATTTATTTTTTTCAAGTGAGAATAGGTTATACCTACTTAAAAATGTCGAATAAACGCAAACACAAGACACTAGATTTGTTTATTTTATTAATTACCTATGACTTTTTCACTATAATCCAGTAATCCGAACATTCCAATAATCCGGCACCCTCCGGTTTTTAATAGTGCCGGATTAGTGAGATTACACTGTACTTTTTTCCAAATTTGGACTGGTAGTAAAAAATAATTCAAAAAAGAAAGAAACATTTACTAACTATGTAATTTGAATTAGGATATCCTTATCTCAAGACTTTAAATTTAGTCTATAATTTTTTAGTTATAACGTTTTTGAATACTTTTTTTATTTTGTACGTGTTAGATATGGGGTACGCAGGGGAGCAGAGTTGGCCTAGTGGCTTCAGCGTGCGACTCTCATGCCTGAGGTCGTAGGTTCGATCCCGGGCTGTGCACCAATAGACTTTCTTTCATTTCACATTTGCTCGAACGGCGAAGGAAAAACATCGTGAGGAAACCGACATGTCTTAGACCCAAAAAGTCGACGGCGTGTGTCAGGCACTGGAGGCTGAACACCTACTTGCCTATTAGATTTAAAAATGATCATGTAACAGATTCAGAAATCTGAGGCCATGACCTAAAGAGGTTGTAGCGCCACTGATTTTTTTTATATTTTAGATATGGGGTATCCCGTGGGCTAGTACAAGCTGCACTCACATCGGCGTGCGCATTCGCAAGTAGTGCGGAACGTCTTTGCGGCGAGTTGTCGCCACTATGGCCCTATAAAGCCCTGTTCCACGATCTTGCGGTGCGCCTGCGCACTTGTAGTATGCCGGAGCTGGAACAATTGATGGAGCTGCCCGCCGTTAGGAAGGTAATTATCACATAGTTAAATTTTTATTTGAGTTACTGCTTATATTGGTTTCCGGCTTGAAGGACCAAAAGTTTTGTCCGAAAAAAACTTTTTGAAGTTATTTTTGTTATTTTTTTGTGTCAATATCATATTAATGTGTTCAGTGTCAAAGTCTTGCGCTTATTTGAAGTAGATCATCAGCTATCTGTGTCGTAAATTTTTGAGTCAACGTTAACTATTTAAAGAAAAAACTTTTTAACCGGTTTAAAATTATGTATTATTATAAATTTACAATTATTTAACATAATTTTAAATTTATCCGACGTTAACTATTCAACGCAGGATTTTACGATAATTTTTTTAAAAGATTTTTGATTCTGTAATGTCCTATACTTGATACAGGCTCGTGCGATGCAATTATACCGCGCGGGATTTCGTCGCGTCGAAGAAGTTGCGCGTGCGTCAGAGGAAAGCTTATCTTCGGCTGTTCAACATCTCTCGCGGACTGCAGCACAGCATCTCATCAGCGCTGCAAGGGTAATTTTATTTACTAGGGCCGTATTCTAACGTGCTTAAATTTTTAACCGACTTCAAAATCTAAAACCTTAGTTAGACTTGTATGTATGGTGTTGGAATTTAATAATATTAGAGATTAGGATTCCAAGCACGTGTGCTAATTTTGTGTGTGGCTTTTCCGAGAAATTTGTCAACATACATGCTTCCAATTAAAATGCCAGTCAGATCTGTTAAAATTACAATTTTGTTACAGATGATGTTAATAGAAAAGGTGGAGAACCTAAGAGCAGATGCAGAAGAAGTAATGGAAGAGTTAAAGATGTGATTTTTTTAAATGTGCAATCCATAATAAAAATGAGTTACAGTGATTAATATATCCTTTTATTCATATTATATATTTCCACAAACTACGAGACAATTAAAAATTATGTACCAAATATTTGACTTTCAATGTCGGGAACAGAAAGTATCCATCCCGATAAAGCATACCTATAAGATTTTTATGTGTACCGTTGAGCACAGAGACAAAATTAAAAGTATGTGTTCGTTCGAATTTTGATTAAGTGGGCTTACCACGTATTGGTATGTTATCTAAAGCTGGTGGCTTCAACACATTTACACTTTGTGCTTGTGTAGTGTCTGTGAATAAGCGCAAGGTGTGATGTCACACTGAATATGCATCATGAAAAGACTGTCCGTCTCTCTCGCGCTCGGTCAAGCTTATGAGTATAAAAGTCATTGTTTTGCTTCTGCTACTGTTTATGTTGATCTTTACTGTACATGTTGATCTTTTTTCTCATTATTATTTTGTCTGTGATTGTTTACTTATTTGGTTGGAGGTTAGAATACTTTGAAAAAAATGTCTTATGAAATATATTCCGTATAAAGCTTATGTCGAAAAATGAAAAATTATTTACACAAACTACTCTTTTACGTTCTTGGTCGGGCTTAGAACTTTTGGATCCACCCTCGTATGCACATAATATTTATATGAAGTTGACACATTTTTATTTATTTTACAACCCACCCAACCTTACTAAAACCAGAGTAGATTAAAATATATAGCTTGGCAAAAAAGACATATTTTTAAACATACTGTATAGTGAAATTGCATTGTGAGTACTGTGAACGCGCCAGCTTTCGATAACCGACCTATATAGTACGTTAAATAAATTTATTAGTTAAATACATAAAAACCGTTTTGTAACCTAACATTAGTTAAGTTACATATTATATTATTTTAATAATGAGAAGCGCAAACAAAATGTTTGCAATCATCGCACACTTGAAGCTAAAATGAGCCCTTTAATTTTTCCCACACTCATAAATTGTAATATAACATTCTCTTTTCCAATAATGTCCAATAGTTCGACTACACTTATATTCTTTATAGGTAACAGGAACGTCACTTAGATTGTAAGAACCCTTAAACAAGTCAAGTTAGTTTTTTTTTATCCAGCGTGGCAACCCCAATTTTATGTTAGCTGTTTTACGGCTTGGCCACGGGGATCGGCGGTGCGAATGGCGAAGCGGGAGGCGAGGCGACCATTCACGCGGCGCCGTTTGCAGGCCACGCACCAGTCACGTTCGCCGCCGCGACCAGTAAGGAAGTTCGACAGCGAAATGTCTTTATCGAAATCATCTCGATATTGCTTGGAAAGTAATAGCTTTTGGTTCAAGACCTAATATTTGGAAGAGATTGTGGAGTACATGATTTAAATAAGAATCGAGGTATAGATGGAGAATTCCACAAAAAGTACGAGAAATACAGAATATACCTATCCAGAAAAGTTTTTTTGAGTATACCAGAATGAGTATTGAAACATTCGATTATATTTTTATGTATATTTAACCAGAATTGGAGAAAAAAGTTAATGCAAAATAATATAATTTTTTAGTTACTCTGTATTCATTTTTCGCCGCGAAAACGACTAAACTTATTTAATCCCTGCTCTATTCGACGCGACTGCCGCTCGACTCCGTGGCTTGCGCCGTACTGACTACTGATTGATGATTCATGCATTTGTTTCGCTCGCCCGTCGCGACGCCAGTCGCCCGCGCGATTCGCTCGGTAGTCGGTATATTTCGCCAGTCGCATCGTCGGTCGCCGTTGCGCGTGGCTTGATTAGTACATTGCTATGAGTTTATTTCAGTCGCTAGACGCTTCGCCGTTCGCATCGCGCGAATATTCGCATCGGCGAATGTCCCGTGGCCAGGCTGTTAAGCGATTAAAGCCAGTTGCAACCCAGCTTCATACAGAGATTCATTTAACATACATTTGAACATCCCTGCAACAACCGCCACCGAACTTAACTCACAGTTTTAGGGAAAAAATGAGTAGCGCTCCGTAGGCGTATTTGGAACTAAACGGAAGCTTGCATTGTTCAAATAGGATACACCTAAATAATTCGAGTTGTCGTAAATTAAAAATATCATATACGAATACTTGTCGCTGTCGTAAAGTTCGTGCTATAATCTCGAAACTGTTGGAAATAAGTCTGTAGGCGACCATCAATGGATTTGGAGAGAACTATTCCAGATTTCTACACTTATAAAACAATTTACGTTATGGAGACAATTTAGGGACGGAGTATTCGATTTTCGATAAATAAAATTGTCCGGAAGACTGTCGGACTATCTAGTATGACTGATTCCAAGATTGGATCAATGATTCTATTAGATGGTTTGAACAAATAAATACTATGCCTTCCAGCTTTTTTATATAACCTAAGACAAATGTTTATCAGTAATAACATCTAATAAGTTCAATTAATTGTTTTGGTTTATGGTGTGATTCTATTTGTTTAAAAATACTGTGAAAATATTCTCCATTTTTAAGTCACCACTGTTGTTAGGGTGAATATTTAAGAGATTTTAAAATAATAGGCCAACAAATTATGTCAAACTTTCTTTATCGTTTCTTATATAAACATGGTTTTAAAGTCAAATAAGGTAGCTTCGACTTCTTGGGAGCCTCCCGAATCTTGGTGAACTCCATGAAGTAGAATACTTGGTTATTCTTATCTATCTTTTTCAGAGAGAAACCAATTTTCTGCACTTCTGCTACAAATGTGTCCACATTGTCGAATCTACTCTCTACTTCAGCTATAAGTAGGTAACCACTGTAATTAGTAGAAATAATAAAAAATACATTAATCTTATATTCATTTTAATATGTTATTGCAGTGTGGTGTGATTATTTGAAAAAACTCTATGATATTTATATATTACATTTGATTATTAATACCATTGATAATCAAAATCAGCAATATTATTGTGGTTCCAAAAATCTGTTCAATCTTTCTCACTTTTAATACTAGCTAGGAGTTACTATTATATTTCTTAAATTAACTTAGTTTATATATATGAATAGTCAACGGCTACTAACAGCATAGCATATTTGACAAATGATTAAATGCTAACAAATTATATGACTACAGAAATTATTGTTGTATGTTATGAAAATACTGACCCAGTCTTCAGCACTCTGTTTGCTTCAACCAAGTACTGTGTAAGATCTGTGCCCATTAATGCTAAACAGTACACAGCTACATCCATTGAACTGGCCAATAATGGTGTATGAGCAATGTCACAAACTTCCACATTTGAATTAAATGACACTAAGTCAAAAGAACGGACTTTCTGAGCCACTCGTTTAGACAGTACTGCTTCTCCACAACCCATATCAGCTATGAGGTGGGTTCTTGGCCTAAAATATTGAAATCAAGTCAGTTTGATATTTTAAAATTATATTTAATGCTAGTACAAGCTGTTCTTAATATTATTTATTTATTTCTACTTCATTGCCATAATGCACATCATACATATAAAAAAAAACAAAAAGTAAGTAGGTTACATAAGTTATTAGGCAACAGACGGCCTTATGCTAACAAGCGATTTCTTCCAGGCAACCCTTATCATATTACAGTACAGTTAGTCATTATTTTATATATACTATCATTTTGTATATTAGGTTTGAACTGTAAATATGTAAGTACATTTTGTTCTCACTATAATATGACTGTATGCGGCTACTGGTCATAGACATGGAACTCAACATATGTAAATTATGGTTTCATTAATAATTATTTAACACTATACAATTTGATGAAATAAAACTTTAGCATACATTCAAATGCTATATATATGTTACTATAAATATATTTTGTGATTACAGATAATACCCCTTTAGTAAATTACTTACATCTTTGAAATCCTTTGAACAATAAGATCAATTGGATTAACAGGCCACTTCTTGACCTGTTGTTGGTATCCTTGGTGGTATGTTTTGAAAGCATCAGGATCCTCTTGGAATAACCTTACAGCATCAGATCCTGATGATGTATATAACTTCTCATTTATATACCTAAATTGAGCAGCTGAAATAAATTTTGTTGATTTATAATTATATTTATATTACTTATAAGTAGATTCAAATGGGAAGCTAACTACACTTTTTGTTTACACCTATACTTATCAGTGAGAAAAATTAAGCATGTGCTGGTTTACATGTACTTTTAAATAAACATTAAGTCAGTTGAAGTTGCAGGCAAGTTAGTATAGGTTTTTAAATATAACTTAACACAAGAGGATAGAATGAAAAGTATTCAGTTAGAATATTAGAATAAATACCTTTCAGCCGTTGTAGCATTCTTTCTCTTAAACTGTTTCCATTTACTTGAATAGAATTTCTTTGGCCAACTTTAAGTAACATATTCTTTAAAACTGCCTTTTTCTTTGAAAGTGGTTTGCTGCTTTCTGTAAACATCTCTACTACATCTTTCTCTTCTTTAGTATTAAATGAATTCAGTTTTCTTTTCTTGGCATTAATAATGACCTCATCTAATTGATCTGTATCTAAACTTTGATCAAAATTTTCATTTAAATCAACATCTTTATCATTAATTTTGGTCAAAGGATGCTTTGGACTTATTTGTATGGATTTCAATTTATCAGATTCTTCATTATTGTCCATAGTATTCAGTTTATTTTTCTGTTTTATATGATTTGATTTTTTACCTACCGTCTGCTCTGCCAAGTTATTTGGTGGTTTCAGTCGAACAAATCTCCCCATTATATTGGTATCACTTTTATGAGGACTCTTATTCTTTTCAATTTGTTTGTTTGACGACAATGGGCGTTTAAGATTCAATGTTTTTCCATTTAATAAGATTTCATCAACATTTTTCTTTTTATTTGATTTTGGATGTCCATTGAGTTGGATTATGCTATTGTGTTTAGTATCAACTTTAGTTGCATGATCAATATTTTTACTACCATGTTTCTTTTTATATTTCTGAAAATAAATAGAAGTTATTAAATATACAAAAACTTCATCAATTTAATTCCTGACTATCAATAATGATTACTCACCGAAGTTGTTACATCGAATTTGATATCTGAAGATGGTACACTGTCTTCCCAATCGGGTATTTGAAACATTTTATGTTATTAAAAATTTATTTTAAAGCTCCTAACCTAAACTATACACTAAACATTCCAAAAATTGTTTTATGTTATAAAATATGTTTAATGGGAATATTATATGGAACAGTTTCAAATACTAATATTTTATAAATTAATAGCTAATTTTGGTAATATTATATTTATTTAAAAGGTATAACTCAAAAATTTACACTATAAGTTTTAACGTCCAGTGAACGTAAACACATGAATAACATGTCCATGTGTATTGTGTGAATGTGAAATGTCAAATGTGAATCAGAATTGGCAACTGACACTTATTAAATGTATTGACAGTTGACAATAAAACTGAAGAGTCAGTTTTTATCTAAGCTTTTTCAGTAGTTTCGACAGATATCTTAAAAGATGAAATTGGCTTGTAGGTAGATTAAAGCAACATTAGTTTTATACAATCTCAATTCCAGGTTATGCTGTTTCCTTGATAAATTGTTAGAGTTCAAAGATTTGCAAAATTTTAATTAAATGATAGGTCTGCACGCCAAAGAGGTAGATTATACTATAAAACCAGTAGAGAATCCTATAAAAGAGGCTTACTTTAAGGTTAAGTACCATACATAGAACGCTAGAACCTGAACCTACAAATTTTACAAAAAGGGAACTATAAAACAATTATTTTCACTAGATTGAATGTGTGACCTGTTGGTAAATCAATATGTCATCAGGATGAAGGTTGCAGCTAGTGTGGTAGAAATAAGTAGTTAAGTAGACGAAGTATTCCTTCCTTCCTTTCGATTGTATATTTTATTTATAGTTTAAATAAAATTACAATATTACCACTAAAAAATATATATATATATATATATATAAATATATATACATATATAGGCAATAGCTGGCAAGCAAAGTACTGAAAAAATTATCTACCGTGATAACGATATGTCCATCTACTTTCCCGTACTATCATGTTTTCTCAAAATATTTTTACAAAATGAATGTTGCTAGCCTTCAAAGGATTCTGAATTCAAAAATATTCAATCATTGTTTAGACAATTATTTGAAGTAAGTCTGCTGTCGGGTAGAAATATTCCTGTATCAGCTTCACTAATAATATTTTAAAGCAAGGAGCTAATCGGCTTTTGTTTAGCTGGTAATCGAACCCCGTTAAACACTATATGCGTTAAGTAAATCCGTAGTGTTCATTAAGATTCAAAAACGAGCGTTAGCGCTAAATTTATTAGGTATGTAAAAATAGAGTCATAGAGCGAACTATCAAAATCCGATTCTTTTTCATTTACTTACTCTTAAGTCTGGACTCCTATTTATCCTATACTACAGAGGCCGTACGAGGCCGAGAGATCAGTGTTGGCCTAGTGGCTTCAAAGTGCGACTCTCTTCCCTGAGATCGTAGGTTCGATCCCCGGCTGGATCAATGGATTTTCTTTCTTTGTGCGCATTTAACATTCGCTCGAACGGTGAAGGAAAACATCGTGAGAAAACCGGCTTGCCTTAGACCCAAAAAGTCGACTGCGTGTGTCAGGCACTGGACTGATCACCTACATGCATATTAGACAAATGATCATGAAACAGATACAGAAATCTGGGGCCCAGACCTAAAAAGGTCGTAGCGCCACTTATTTTTTACAGAAGCCGTACAAATGTATATATTTTGTATTCATAAATAATTAAATATCCACTACATACAGGAAACTGTACTTGACACTTCTTGTAATTAATCAGTTTGCATTCATAACGTTGTTCATCTTATTAAAGTTAAAAGTAACAGATATGAGATATCAGTCCGAAGTCTCCGTCGCCGACGTCCCTATTAGTACGTAATTCAGTTCGTAAACAACTTCACAATCCGATTACCGAATCGCTTGAGATTCAAACGAACAACCTAAAATGTGATTGAATAAAACCTAATAGCCACGCCCTTCACGTCCGGTGCAAGACTACCAACGTGTACTACAGAAACCGGAGCTGGCCGAAATCAGCTCAAAATTGACCGCGGCTAAAAATATCAAGCGCGGGGCGAGCGCTAACAATCGGCGTAGCGTTCAGAGCCGCCCCGGTCGCCGCGGACTCCACATTCCAACGTCTTGCTGCCAGTCTGCACCAGTGTAAGACTGAGTGACCGCTTTCTACCCGTGCGACGTAAGTGCAGTGAAGTGCAGTGTACAGTGTGTAGTTTACGTGCAGATGGACTTTTAAACGATTGCCAAATCTGGTTTTGCGTCAACGCTTTTAGCGCGGAGTTATTACGCGGATGTCATTTTGGATAATAAGTATATACACATACACTACACACTGTACACTTGATGAATTGTGATAATAATACATTATAAATTAGGTTTAGATTGAGGTTTGATTATAGTATATTAGCGTGTAATTGACCAACTTAGTTGAATAAAATATACATATTTATTAATATAACAAAATTTAACTGCAGTCTAAATATTTTAGATTTTTTTCTAATATAAATTGTATATATAATATTTGAATCCATACTTTATTATATATTGGTTTATGTTTTTTTACCTTAAAACAGAAAGCCTTAACGTGATTATAATACCAGTCATTATAGTCACTATCTGAGCATAATTTTTAGTTAAGCGATCTTTAATCAATCATTTCTTTTCAAGATAACGTAATTTTGAACCTCTTTAGTACCCCTTAAACTAGTAACTATAACTAATTTAGGACTACAATGTTGCCCTATAAAAAATTAAGATCCGCAAGACGATATCTCCAAGCACAATCCGATACTGCCAAATATAAACTTGTTGAACGCGTGCCAGCGCCGTCCGTAGGTGTTCCCGTTGGTTAGAAGATAAAACCGCCAAAAATAACCTTCTGTAAACAATACGCTCATATTTCAATTACATACTTTGCAAATAAGATATTTTCGAAAAAGTAACTTCTCTCTTAACTTAGTCTATGTTATATGATTTTAAGTTCGAGGTTCAAGTTAAATAATTATGATTGATCGTTTTCCTTAGGGAACGGATAGGATTTAAATGGTACCATCTCCATGATGGTTAGGGGCGAACAATAGCAACAACAAGTGTTCAAAGGTGAACCAATTTTTCACATTCGTACGTTTTTAAATTTGACCTTGAAACTTAATTCGTAAGGTATCCACAAAAATTTAGCCGCACACGTCGACTGCGTTAATAGAAAACAATAGACAATAGGTAACATACCTATCTAAAAAAATTAGATCTATCATTTAATGAAGTAAAGATATAACAAACAAGTAATAATTCTATCATGACGTGAAGGTTAACACAATGTTTATTATATCGACAGTACAATATTTTGATTCATAGCCAATTTGTATTGTAAAGTCTACATTGTGAGGATTACCTACACATTTCGAATAGTTACGGATTTACGTCACTGGTGGCTTTAGCCAAATATTTCACGTTTAAGATGAAATATATCTAACGCGTACAATCAATATTACAAAAAACTAAGGTTAAGTGTCTTAGTCTAGAATCTTAGGGTAATAAGTTTGACTACGTCAAAAATGTATTGGAGTCTCAGGTCAATCTTGGTAACCCTACCACGATTGACCTTATGTATAAGAATCTATAATAATGTCCAATTTTTTTACAGACTAACACATTACCAAAATGTCCGACGAAGAGGAATATTCGTAAGTGATACCTTATTTTAAAACAAATAAAATATTACAAGGTACAGTTAAAATCAATACACTATCACGTTCATAATTCTTGCATTGATTGACCCTAAGTTTTTGCCCCAATTTTGTACTATTGATCCACATCAGAATGAACCTCCAATGTGCTAACATGTACCTTACCTTATCCGAATGATTTAAAATTATTAACGGTGTATTTTCTCAACAGTGGCTCCGAAGAGGAGGAAGTCGAAGAAGAAGTCGTAGAGACGTAAGTAGGGCCGCAGAACGCGTCTTTCAAGTTAGCTCTGATTTGAGACTAAAGCTTGAGGGTTCTCTGCCTTTCTTCTAAAGCCTTACCTAGATGAGATCTATCACTTAGTGTCACCACTGTAAATTCAATTAGTTTCAGTTCTCTGTCGTGTCAGGTTTGATGCACGCCTCACCGAATCCTATATCTTTGTTGCAGGAAGTAAGTGACGCGCCCTTTGCGGCGGCACTCGCACGCTTGGCTCAATAGGCTAAGACAATGTTGCTTTTAGTGCTCGGTCGATGCTTTATTAGCTATGAACTCACTCGGACGCTAGTTGCCATCGCTTTCGACAAGTTTTTTTTATTAACATCTCTCTGTCGTGCTGTCTGTCTTCGCTTTTACGTGTTTAGCTTTAGTTATTATATTTAGAATACGATATTAATTATTGATTATTTTCCTTCCCGCTCCTGCAACCGCTCAATAGGCCCGCTCCCAAACAAGAGTAAGTAGATTTCAGTACTTCAAACTTTCAGCGCTTCGCTTAGCCGTGTGTGGCAGTAATCAACGCACTAAGATAACTTTGATTTGCCGTTCAAGTACATAATATCTAATATATTTTGTTTCGGAATCTTTGATTGTGCTATGTAATCCTACGCTTATATACTGTGTTATGTACGAATAGGGTGACGATGTGGTTGATGCTGATTGTTATTTTCTGTTTCTAGGAGTAGACCGTCGATCGCGTAAGTCGCACCGCTCTCTGGTGTCACTAACTGTAAATGTAATCCTATAATAAATAACTAGAACGGCGCGGACGTTTATTTTTGCCAGAATTTTTCCGAACGAACATTAAATGTTGAGCAAGCCGCGACGGCTATTTTTAACGATCTACGCGTTCTATTTCTGAAGTTCGCGATGCGCCCGCGCCGTTTCAAATCTCTGTGTCGAATACCTAAAATTCGGATTTAAACATTCGCATGGAAACCGTAAACGTCCTAATTTTGTGTTTTCATTAAACATTCGTGTCTTTAAAACCACATTTCAATTTAAATATTCATAACCATTGCGTATTATCACGATGGTACACATACAAAATAATTCTGATTAAATGTTTTAATACAATGTGTATATTATATAATGATTTAAATTTTCATGTTCACACATAAGCAAATGGCACTTTATGTGTTACATAAGTCAATAAACTGTACGACTACAACTAAACTAAATTAACTGAAGCTAAATGTTACCGAGAGTCAATAATTTGACTCACTCCCTAGAAGTGTTATTAATTAAAATTTTGTTTCCAGCAGTGAGGGTGATCCAGAATTCATTAAGGTATACTCGCTTTAAATCGATTTTTTTTAAATACACGTACACGTACTAATTAGAAATGTTTTACAGCGTCAAGACCAAAAGCGGTCTGATCTAGATGAGCAGCTGAAGGAATACATTAACGAATGGCGTAAACAGAGGTCCAAGGAAGAAGATGAGCTCAAACGTCTCAAGGAGAAGCAGGCCAAGCGCAAGGTAACTAAAACTTAAGAGATAAATAATTAAATTAACAACTCAGTAAACATAAATAAAATTTGTCGCTTTTATAGGTCTCCCGCGCGGAAGAAGAGAAACGCCTCGCCCAGAAGAAGAAGGAAGAGGAAGAGAGGCGAGTCCGCGAGCTTGAGGAGAAGAAACAGCGTGACATCGAAGAGAAGAGACAGAGGCTCGAGGAGGCCGAAAAGAAGAGGCAGGCTATGCTTCAGGCCATGAAGGATGCCTCCAACAAAACCGGACCTAACTTCACCATCCAGAAGAAGAATGACAACGTGAGTGCACATACGTTGTTCACAGTAATCTTTAGGCTTTGAAACTACTTTCAATTTTCATTCAAACAAATGCATGGATAACTTAGATTAATGCACAAATAGTACAATTTGTTTAATAAAGCACCTTACATAGTACTCCAACAAAGTATACGTTTACAGTTCGGCCTTAGCAACGCCCAGCTGGAGCGCAACAAGACCAAGGAACAACTAGAAGAGGAAAAGAAAATCTCCCTATCCATCCGCATCAAGCCCCTGACCATCGAAGGCCTGTCCGTAGACAAGCTTCGCCAAAAGGCCACCGAACTCTGGGAATGCATCATCAAGCTCGAAACCGAAAAGTACGATCTTGAGGAGAGACAAAAGAGGCAGGACTACGACGTGAGTTAACCTTTTCTTACATTCGATCGAAACCTGTTGCGCTGAATGCGGTTCTTAAGATTTTTTTTTTAAATCGCACAGTATTTGCTTTACGAGAAACATTAAATGAAAGAATACTCTTCACTTAGCATAAACATTCGATAATGTATAATTTTCCTACAGTTAAAAGAGCTCAAAGAAAGACAAAAGCAACAGTTAAGGCACAAGGCTCTCAAGAAGGGTCTTGACCCCGAGGCACTCACAGGCAAGCACCCCGTAAGTATTTTTAGCTTCATTATTCACTCTCACTCTCATTCTAACCAAGAGTAATAGAGCAACTTTTTCATATAAACATTTCTTTCAGCCTAAAATCCAAGTCGCGTCGAAATATGAAAGGCGCGTTGACACACGCTCGTATGACGACAAGAAGAAACTGTTCGAGGGTGTAAGTATAAAATTTACTGACAAAGCAACTTATTTTGAATTGGTATACACATTAAATAAAAGAAAAAACTGTTTCTGCTCCGAGTATTTAGTATGAAAAATCTAATTCTTCTAATGTCTAAGTTCGACTCGACGAAGCCCCGGTTGACGTGACTAATTCATTATTGGATAGAAAATTTAGAGTAAAAATAAATGTTGCTAATATTATACAGGGTTACGATAATCAATTATCGGAGTATATGGATAAGTTATGGAAGCAGAAACTTGAGGAGTTCGCTAACAGAAATAAAAGTAAGGCGATGTGGTGTTTTAAGATACAATTGTGTCCCCACACGCCCGGCATGGCCCATTGTCATGAGGCATGCACCTAACCACTGCTCATATTATCCACTTGATCAGAATATACATGTCCTAAGAAAACTCAAAAGAAAGATATTTTTAAAAAAGGAACGTAAAGGTCATCGGAAATTGAAGAAAAACACAGCACATTAAGCGTTATTATTTGCAAAATTTATCGCAAAATTGAGTTTGTCAACGTTTTCACTATTTTAACTGATCAATTGAATAATTCGAGCATCACACCTATTCCCTCTATGTTTCCCATTGTGATAACATGTACCACGATACAGGACCTTGAAAAACTCAACAAGGACTTCATCGAGAAGGTGTGGCAGGAGAGAGCCGACCAGTTCGGTGGCAGGCAGAAAGGTAAGTGCGGCTGGCTTAAAAAAGGCTTAATATGGAGAAAATAAATGCTAAATTTATTTTACTAAATTTCAGTTTAAAATCTGGACAATTAAAGCTTAAAAAATCGCTAAAGTAATAACTGCTAAAAGACCTTATTCATAAAAACTAAATCATCTAATTGCACCGTGTTAAGTAAAGTACTCCTTTTTCTCTTTCTAGCACGGCATAAATACAATTTGACAGAAAGAGACGTAAGAATACTTTCTTTTAATAGTGCAATTACCCATTTTCTTTTATGAACAAGGGAAATAAAACTAACGTAGATCAAAAAATAGTCAGCCAATATTAAATCAGACGTCAACATTACACTACACAATCCCATATATGTGAATCCCACATTGTTACATCATTTTAGAATTTCTGTGAATATGGAACTAATAATCATTGTGCCGTTAGAGTTAATTTGTAATATGTTTGTGTTGTCATTTATCATATAGTCAGAAGAGGCTAAGCGAGATTATATATATATTATATATATATATATATATCTTATGAAGAGTTCCCTTCATTTTTTTATATTCATCTCTCTTGTGTTTAAAGGTTTTTAGAACCAGATTAATCTAAAAGCTGTATTTGACTTAGTATTTTTAATTAGTTCAGGGATTTCACATTTCAAAGTGTCACTTGCTCAGATAACGCGTATCATTGTATTCCATGTTTTTTTTTACACAATATTTAATAAATCATTTATAACAATAGCGAGACTGCCGAAATGGTTCGGTGAGAGGCCCGGCAAGAAGAAGGGCGAACTCGAATCCCCCGAAGGCGAGGAAGACGTCAAGGCCGAGCCCGACGACGATGAGGAACCCCAATTCGAACCTGAACCTGAGGAGGAAGAAGTCGTGGAAGAGGAAGAGGTAGAGGAGGAAGAGGAGGAGGAGGAGGAAGAAGAGGAGGAGGAGGAGGAGGAAGAAGAGGAATAGGTAATATAACTTTTAAAAATATAATATTTTCAATACCATTTTGCCAAAAATTATATTAAGGTTTTAATTTAATTTATTTCCCAGGCGTTAAGTTAAGGAGCCACCCTCGAGCCGGATGGAAGCGGACTGTACTGTTGCATAACCATTAACTTATTATAAATTATTTTTATTATTTATATTATGTTCACTTGTAACAACACGGCAACTCGCCACCAACACCTGTGGCAGCATTAAACTAATTTATTATAAGATTCTATGGTTTTATTTTATTTATAGCATTTTACCCCCCACCCCCCCATATATTTTTAGTAGTATCAAAAGAACTATATTAAGGTGTGAACACAAAACAATAAATTCATGCTTCTAAAAATCACAGGACGGTTCTGCGCCTCATTGACTTTCTCAACCATAAAATAGCCGATTTATCGAATAAGCTTCATCGATCTTACAAAAGTATTTTAAAGTCTTGAAATAATCAGATATAAAAGGTTAAAATAAAAATATATTTACTACAATAATATTTATCAATAACATATAAATTCACTTATAATACTCATTGACAATGTTTCATGATAAATGCGAAAAGAAAACAATTTTGAATATCATATTGTAAATTAGAATATATTATAATCATAACTAAATTAGCTTACGAAGGATTATGCGGCGGGAATGGGGTTTTCCGTTTGCTTCTGCTGAGGTGACTTCTGCATTAAGTTGATTTTGTCACCGAGACTGAGTGCCATACCCTGTAACACGAATACAAATACTTATCACCTCATTCATAGAAACTAAATTAATTTAATTAATTAGTTTTACCCGAAGTTCTGTCTGTCTCTTGCAATCACAGCGTAAACAGAATTTGACAGAACGTTCTCTACGTTTCAATAATAATTATTTCGAACAAAATATGGTTGTGACAAGATTGATCTAACGCTGGCTAGGAAGCTGTGGACGAGTTACAGCCCTTCCATGGTATGAAATGGCTTTTACATGGTGCATGTTTAAACAAAAGGAATGTAAGTGATATATAAAAAAAAATAGAAAATGTAGTCTTAATCTTAAATCTAATTAAACAAAAAATCGTAATCGTGAATATATGAGAATGTGAATGACTGCGTGCTCTGTGTCTGGGTTAATTTTTGCAACCTCAGAGCCATAGTAAGGCTTCTGTAGAATCGAAAGGATATGAGGATATGTAAGACATTACTTTAAATAGGTTTAAGTTAGCTACCAATAGGTACACACATTTTTAAATCTATTTGCGGATATATTTTTTACAATGTAACTTTGTACTTATTATAAAATCTTGTGTTGTTCACATACATACAGGTAAATGTTAAATTTTGAATATTTGTCTCAACATTATTTGATGAAAAAATATTTTAAATATGCCATAGGCACACAATCACAGGCAGACACGTTTCTGTACTTTTCGAAAAATTAAAAGACCCAAGGAACGAGAATAGGGCGGTGCCTTCTGTTACTGAAACTACCTCGCTGTGAATGTTGTTTATTTTCACTACATAAATACGATTTTTCTTTAATAATCTGTTTACCATGTGCCTAGTAACACCTGAATCTCTGTATGATTAAGTCTATCCTTAAGTTGTTTATGATCCAAACTGTCAAAAGCGCTCTCTATTTATAGCCATTACCAGATTTTGTGGAGTAAGATATGTCACTATTGATCACATCGTAAACACATTTCGACAGAAAGAGAGGAAAGATTACTTTAGTTAAAAGGATGAAATTTAAGTAACTAGATAACTGGGTGAACTTCGTATCACCTACATATATTTGTTTATAATATATGTGTTTTGAATATATCACAGCCAAGTAAAAATTTATATTTCTAAAAAGACCAAAGGCATCAAATATTTCACAGCTGGGAACAGTTTTTATTGGAATATTTAATAGCACCTTATACTTATCTTCTTATTCTTTATGTTTCTCACGTTTTAAACTTTCCCTGAACACAAATATTTCAAGATTTGCCAAATCGGTCCAACCATTCTCGAGTTTTAGCGAGACAAACCAAAAGCAATTCATTTTATATCTATATGAATATAGATAAATCTCACCTGGCTCTTAGCTCGTATCCGCACGTGTCCAACAACGGGCCCGTTCGTCCGATGTAGGGGACTCTCAATAGATAGGTTCGCGAGCGCGTCTTCTCCGAATATCGATCGTGCGTACAGATTGGCCGCCATAAATCCACATTGACCGGATAGAGCCTGCAGAATAATTCATAAATCACTTTTAGACAAAATCCTGCGTGTAATAAGGACGTAAACTTGTGACTTTCAATGATGGTGATCAAAGAAAATAAATTTTAATTCATACGAAATTATTGATTTAATTTAATGATACGTATATTAATTATAGCTTAAAAATACAGTGCGAAAAGTTAAGTAATAAAAATTCATTAAAATTATTAATTTAAACTTTCATTAACAACGAATGAATCAATTTTTTTTAATTTAATTCATACTATACATTAAAAAATCATTTATGATATATCAAAAGTACCTTATCCGGTGTAAGACACTTCATGTTGGTGGAGGCTAACAAATGATCCAAGTATACCCGAAGATCAGTAACAGTTGTGTTCACGGATACCTGCAATACAATAATTAAGCATTTTAATTATAAAAAAGGTGTAATTAAATCACGGTGTTTAGGTAAAAAAAAGCATACCTTTTTTTTAGTACAAAATTTTACTTTTTTGATAGTTAAAGTAATAATACTCAATAAACTTATGACTATATTTTGGTTTATTGAGAGAAAGTACTTATGAACTTTAAAAAAAAGGTAAAAGCGTGCTTTTATATTAATTTCCACTTTTTGTAAGTTATTTTGACAGTAAAACTTATTAAAAACATTAATTGAATTGCTTAATAGTAAAATTTTGTGTTGACCCGTGTTAATTGAATACTATGCGAATGCACGCTTATCAAACTAAGAAAACCTAAGTAAGAACAACGCCCCCTTATTTTTTCAAGAAATATAAATGCCAAAATCTCTTACCAATAATGTTGCTTTCATGAATGAAGATAGATATTTATATAGTTGATTCTACTAATTAAGTAGCCTAGATTTAGATCAACCATGATAGTGCCAATCAAAATGATTATTTTTTATTTATAAAACAAAATAAAACATTATATGCTCTGATTTAGTATTTCTGTTCATAATTAGCTATTTACTTCAAAATACCCAAAGAAGGATGTACTACAATTTACGTGAAATATTTTTCATAAACTTTAGAGACTTATACTCTGATTTTTAAGTCCGTAGAATTCTGACATTTCATAAGTTATTAAACAATACAAATTTGACTTATTTGAGGGCAATAAAAAAATGCTACGTATCTACAAAAAGGTAAATCTAAACATTTACTTACTCAAGTGACCTAATACAAAAATAACAAATATTTCAATAACACGAACAATATATCGAATAAACTTTAATTACTTTATTTTATTATTTAGCTGGCATCACTGGCACACACCTACTAACTCCAGGTTTAGTAAACCTTTAAAAAATATTTAATGTTATCTTTACTTGTGCGTTTTTTACTGTTTGTGATGAAAAGGGACGTAATTACCACTCGCCGTTAAACCACTATTAATGTGGAGTACCGCACTTAATAAAATGGATACATTAACTAACAATAAAATGTATGTGAGACTCAGATGTTCAGACTCGTATTGAAATTGAAAAATGTGCCCGGCCAAAAAGGTTTGCCATCACTGGCATGTCAAAAAATGATAGCTGTCAGAATTCTAGGAAATCAAAAATCAGAGTATACAATACTTTTGGGATATACCTTATTCTCCCACTCAAACTCGGCCCACATGCGTCTGAAGTCAGCATCAGAGCAGCCAGCTGGGTGAATGTAGTCCACTATGTCTATGTGTATGTCGTTCAGGACAACCACACCGCGGTCCAACGATGCGCCACTCACTTCATATACTGACAACAAATTATCAATATTACATTACATTTATTTATTATTAAAAATTATGCATAAGATAAAATTGAATGATAAAATTATGGTACTGAAAAAAAATGGGGAGTTGTTACAACTATACGAATAGTCATACTAAAAAAAAAAAAAGGGGGGGGGGGGGGGGGGGGGGGCCCCAAATATTTACCTTTGTTGTACGAGAGCCATAATTGGTTTGTTTTAACAGAGGTCCGTTTTCTGAGAACAGCTTCATGTGGAAAGTTGTTGTTCAAATAAAAACATACTATACGAATAGTCATACTTCAAGAAATAATAATAAATGTCATATTTAACCAAAAAATTATAATCCGTTGTCTCAAAGTCAAAAAAATATATATGTAAAACCCCGATAAAGAAGTTTCACTTCAATAAATTTATTTAAAAAAATTATAAGCCGTTAACGTAAAATTAGAGTTAAAACTTTATTTAGAGGGTTTACATACCAATATTGCCGAAAATAATTCCATTCTCAGTAGAGGCAACCTTGACGTGTGCGCGGATAGTGGCAAAGTCTCGCGGAGCCAATACGAGAGGTGACGGGCGCTCCACTAGTCTTAACTCTCCCAGTGTTGCCAACTCCACGGTACAGTTTTGAAGGGTGTCGTCTGAAAGAAAATACTATATTTATGATGGTGCTTTAAAAGGATTCTTCATTCTTCTCAGCTTAAGCCTTTGTCACGATCTGGCGCTTGATACTTGCTAAGGAAGATGACGGAATTTATTTAGGACAGATACACGAAAATATAAGACTTACTCTCAGTTTCAAGAAGTGTCAACGTGTCAATTGACATTACGGGTAAGTGTCAAAATAATACAAGTTTCTGAAACGTTGACTTGACAATATTTCCCGTACTACAAACTTTGCGTGCATTTGCGAGATTTCGTAACAAGAGAAAATTAGATAAATATCCATATCATGTGAATAATATAAGGTCCCACCCCACAAGCGTCAGGGAGGTAAATTAAAAAAAAAAAAGAGGCAGACTAGTACCACAATTAAGTAATAACTTCACGTGGATTTTTAAACAAATCATCGACAAAATAATATTCTTCGTGTATCGCTTCGTGCCTTCGTCAAATCCTTGGAATATGGCCCGTGATAATCTCTAATCATCAGCTATGGGAACTATTAAATGAGGTGCCAAATAGATTTATAAAATGCCGAAAGTGTAAATGGGTCCATACTCTGCGGAGGTATCCAAGTCACATTGCCAAACAAAGCCTCGACTGGAATCCTCAAGGCGAACGGAAACAGACCTGGCAACGAATTACTATTGCAGAGACGAGAGACGCTGGAATAACGTAAAGGGAAATTAAGAGCTACCCGGGACCGATCAGGCTGGTTTTCTACGCTGGATGCCCTCTGCCCCACTTGGGGAAGGAATATGTAAGTCAACATCAAAATTAATTAGTTATGATACGATTATATAAAATACAATGAAATCTGAACATACCTGTCTGATTGACGACGAGTACGTCCAATACGATATCGTACTGGTTGACAGATACAATGGCTTCCGCGTACACCGGATCCGACAAACCAGTCAACTGACGAACGCGGGACAGCGAACCTGCGCTTGCGCTGCTTGGAGCTGTGCGACCTGAAATTTATTGTTCCTATTAAAGATTGCAGATTTTGGATTAGTTTACCATGACCTAGATTATATCAATGCAATAATTCAATTAAATGCTATATAACCAATTCCCCTCTCTATCTCTAGTAACTCTTACCCTGCACAGCCTTGCTAAGAGACAGCTCGAACATGTCGTGTTGTTGAGGCGCAGTGGCTCCAGCCAACATCCCGAAGGAGATGCCTTGTTCAATCTCCACTTTACGCTCAGTCTTCTTTTCTGTCTGCTCGTGCTGAAATATACAAATATCATAGAATCTTAAAAAAAAATATTTTAATATAAATTTACAGACCATAAAATTTCAAACAGAAAGATGTTATTTATTTAATAGTATATTGATAATCCACGGCTGTTTTTTAAAGTAATATTTACAATTCTAAATAAAAAGAAGCCAAAACGGATTACACTATATATGCAAAGAACATTATGTATGGGTATAGGTGCGTGTGTGGGAATGTGTAATTTGTGGGTGTGTGTGCGTTTTAATGTGACCTTAAAAATCCATTCGAATTAATTATCTCCTTCGAAAAGACGCGTTTGGAGATAATATGGAATAAGTAATTAAACAAAGAAAGTAAAAAGTATCACTTTATAGAGTTACTGCATGATTTTTTTAATACAAGCCAATAATCGAAATATTAGCTTAGCATTCTTCTGATTTTTTGACAAAATTAACCGTTTACCTATTTTTAATTATTAAATTAAAAATAGGTTAAATGGGAAATTTTGTTGTTATACCTCAACATCAGGCATGATATCCGGCAATGCGCGATCAGGTAATGCAAGAAGGGCAGCGAGAGCCCGACGAGATCCCTGCAATAGAGCACTCCGCACTACTCCCGACTGCTCCAGACCTGCGCGTGCGCACAACGCCGCGTGCTCAATATCGTCCGTTGTTAGACCACCGGTTTCATCTGAAATTTGATGAAGCAATGATTAATAGGAAAGAGACTTTAGTTTCTCTAATAATTTTAGTCTAAGAAAGCACAGACGACTCTTGATAATTTGGAAATCAAGGGACCAGAGATGAATTCAAATTACCAAGGGTTCAAAATAACTAGCGTAAGTAAATAAAATAAATAAATAACACTCAGGTAAATACGAGTTTGATCAAAATTCGTGATTTATTATTTCTATATTATTGTTATGTATTAACAGTTAAATAAGTACAAAAATACAATTATTAAAACATTTTGATTTCGAAATAAAGGCCGTAATCTTTTTTGGAGTGAGCGACTTCAGTCTATCATTGTCACATTACTTGTAAGGTGTCCTCATGTATGACAAACGAAAGGTCTGTGCATGATAAACACTTCACTTTATATAGAGTTGGGAAGCCCGGAGTTCAAACTATCGTATTTAACATTGACGACTTTGGACGACTCATTGGTCTAGTGGTTAGTACCCCTGACTGCGAATCCATGGATCCCGGGTTCGATCCCCGGCTGAGACGAACATCGATGTGATGAGCATTTGGTGTTGTGCTTAGGTCTTGGGTGTTTAAATATGTATTTATACGTCTATCTATCTATAATATATATGTATATCCGTTGCCTAGTACCCATAACACAAGCTTCACCAGCTTAGCATGGGGCTAGGTCAATTGGTGTGAATTGTCTTTAAAAAAAAAATTCAAAAAAAAAAAAAAATATTCAATTTATCGAGTATTTTTCAGGGGACTGGAAAAAAAACAATTTATGGAGATATTCAAATTAACGGGTGTCAATTTATCGAGAGTCCACTGTACCAGAAATAACATCACATTAACATCATTTGCAATTACAGAATTAATAGAATGAAGTGCAGCAAGCTTAATTGTAAGCTATGATAGACTCTATAATCTAGCCATATCTTATTTACCAATTTATTTAAAAAAAATCTAAAACACTAGAGGAATTGTTACAGCATTTTTATAAGCAGCTAATAGTGGATCATCCAAAAAACTTCGTACAGTAAGCTTACATTTTGTATATTTATTTTAAAATGTTAAAAAATAAATATATACTCTATGACTCGTGATAAGAATAATATCTTATATATAAAATTCTCGTGTCACAATGTTAGTTCCCATACTCCTCCGAAACGGCTTGACCGATTTTTATCAAATTTTATATGCATATTCAGAAGGTCTGAGAATCGGCGACTATCTGTTTTTCATACCAAGTGATAAACCCCCCTAACATTTTATTTTTATTTTTTGGACGAAATTTTAATTTTTAATTTTTTTATGTTCTATTAATAAAACCCTAAATTTTCACCCTTCTATCAGCAACCCTTATTTTTTATTTGTTCATTAAAATCTTATGACTTGAACTCTGAGGTTTATATAGAGAAAAAGGTAGGCTAAGTAAAATCACATTAAGGAGAAACGAAGTTCGCGGAGGCAGCTAGTAATACAATATTATGATTGTTAAAATTTGTATGCCCTAGGAAACTCTAAAAATAAGTTCATTAATAAACCAGTATTTTTTTTAGTATTGGTTATCACCAATGGGGATAAGACAGGACCTTAGGAGAGTTCTACTAATGAATTTTTGATATTACCCTTAATAATTTAAATGCTAATATTACTGACTTGCATCAAGCTTATGGTAAGCTACCAGCTGTGCAGCCAAGAGCAGAGCACGAAGCCTCTGCTGGGGATCTTCTAGGCGCAGAGCGAGCTTACACAGCGCAGAACAGGCGCACGCCGCAGTGAAACTCTCACCCGACCTCACTGCTTCTGAGAGACCGTTTTTGGTGGATGTTGTGGTGGACGGCCTGAAACAAACTTCTATTGGGGCAAGGAAAAGAATCCTGCGCCTGTTTCTCTAATGGTCTGTAGGCTATGCTATTGTTTGCCTATGACCCCGGTCACTTCGGTTGATCGCAACGTGCGTCAACTACTAAGCCTGGGTTAGTAGTTGACGAGCCTACAAATTTTTATAAGTCAAAAAATGACGATATTTAATCAAGAAATATATAATTAATTTGTCAAGAATGGCCAAAAATTGCGTGACGTAATACTTGAACGCTCCCTAACTAAAGACGCAAAAGATATATAACGAATTTGGATTCTTAAGTAACTTACTGCTGTACACTGAAGGCGGATTGAGTGACATAAGCCCCATCACTGGTCACCAGTTGACGTGGTGCCTCTGGCTTGCTGGCCTCTTCCTGCATTAACATACACGGTAATAGAACACTTACTAATTTTGAAAAAATGCTTGATTGTCAAACACATATTAATGTGTCCCGACACGGCCATAGCGGCTTATCTCTATTGATACTTGTTACATGATATCAACAACTTAAAAAAAAACAAAACAGACAAAAATTGTTAAACAAAGATACAGAAATCTGAGGCCCAGACCTAAAAAGGTTGTAGCCATTATATGACCATTACATAGCATAGCCATTGGTTTTTTTTCTCTTTCGGTTAGTAAATATTACTTCAACTTGATTAATTGCTTTAAGGTAAATTGATCAGTTTGGTTAGAGTATACTTTGCAGAACTGTAAAAAAATTTATATTTAAAAAAAAGAACTGTCTGCTGTCTAGTCATAATTTTTTTTAATAAAATAGGGGGGCACTGGGTTAATTATAAAGCAATGGCAGCTAAAGTACACTTATATGAATGAGTGCTTTGCCGACGGTCGGATAAAGGCAGCTCTTTTTTTACCTTTTTTGCTTTATACATCATAATTAAAGCGGCCTATTATTTACGTACCGATTGAGCTTCTCCGTTGTCAGCTGGCAGTAACTCAGCTAGTACATCAAGTGCAGCGGCTGCTCTCTCCGGTGTGTCCGCGAACTCCGCTACCAGCCAAAGAGCTGATCGGGCTATCTTTCCCACCCGGATATTTTTCACGGATTCCAGAAGTTTCTGATGATAATTCGTATATCTATTATCGTATCGTAATATTTTAACTTATCCGTGTTGATCTAGTGGCTGAGCGTGAGACTTACTTAGTGAAGGAAAACTTCGTGTGGAAACTGGAGTGTCTCAAACCCAAAAATCAATGCATCAAACACTAGGCTGATCACCTATTTGTCTTTAAAAGAAAACTGATCAAACAAACAAACGCAATCTGAGAACAAATCTCATAAAATAGAAAATTGCGCGGACAATTAGAAAATTTAAGAATATTTAACCACCATATTAAGTAATCCTGACTTTTGTTACGTTAGCAATTTTTTTTTTTTTCAGTACTTTTACAATTCAAACTTTTTTGATGTTATGACGTTTGACATAACATTGACAGAATGCCTGCTGCAAATATCGTCAAAGAGGATGTAAAAAAAATGAATAACGTTTCAAACAAATGCTTCGATCGGAGTTATTATATTGATAAAATACATATAAAATAATTAATTTATTATTTTTTACAAAAAATGAATTTCTTAGTGCACATCATCTTTAGTTCAGAGCTATCACGCTTATATTAATAGTTGAATTTAGTAAGTTTGGAAAGACTAACATACACGTTACTAACATAACACTTGGTATACTTGGTTATAAAGAAGAATACAATAGTTTTATTGAATTCCAAGAAGTCCAGAAAAACAATTTATGTAAGAAGCCAATACCTCATATATAGTAGACCGCAGATCAGGGAAGGAGTGAAGTGCATGCCTTAGGAACAGCATCACATCTTGAGCTGCAGTTTCTCCACCTTCACCCAGCTGTTCCATCATCGCTGGTGCCACGCTACCAGCTACTTCCGGAAACTATTATATATCAAACTTAAAATTATACTCAAGCATTATGAATGTATTAGGTACTTTCCTAATGGTTGTACATTCGACTCTCGATAATTAAACATTTGTTTATTTGAATCTCTTGATAATATGAATATTTTTCCGGTACCTTGTAAATAAATTGTATAAAATCAATGTTAATTGGTCCCATCGGTAATTAGAAGTCCGGGCTTCCCTACTGTTTATAATTAGAAGTGTACCGGACCTGTCAATTATTTTTTTTAATTCGGTGACTAAAGTCACTCAAAAAAAGATAACTCCTTTTCGAAATAAAAATTTGTGAATTAATAGTGAATGCATAATAATAATATAGAAATAATAAATCACGAATTTAAATCAAACTCATTTACTTGAGTCCCCCCTTCCCCTTATGCCTATTTATTTTAAATGAATTTTTTTTAACTCTTGGTTAAAGTATTTGTCATTTATTTCTGGTCCCTTGAGTTTCAAATAATCGAGTGTCGACTGTAGTTCCATTTAAATAAATTTAGGAAAAGATAATGTTATAGGGTAAAAACTGTGTGAATTATAAAAAACCTTATATAAGTATATAAATTCTGATTGCAAAATTCCGAGTAAACACGAAATTAAAAAACTTATCCGTAAATAAATACAGTAAAACATACCTTGATAGCAGCGCGATGCATAGCGCGAACCAACAGTTGTCGGTACTTAGTAGCGTCCTCGTGCTCTGCACTGTGCGCGCGCGCACATTCCTTGCGCAAAACGCTCACCAGCTCTTCTGCGTGACGGGGCGTCGCCAATTCCAAAGCTTAATAAAAAAAAAGGAACCATTACATAAAAATCTTGAACATTACCAATGAATATAAGTATAAAAGAGCCTTCTACTCAAACTAAAAAATTTTTATGTGTGTAGCATACACATGTATAAACATACATTTCATATTCACATAAATTTCATATTTTTATCGACATTTTACATCGATATCGTAATATCGTCACTCGCACAGAACTACATAAAAACTGGTCTTGCGGGATTCGCGCGTGAATGTGTGCGTGCACGCAGGTAACCAGTAGTACGTGGCCAGTGCGCTTAGTGGCTTGGTATTTGACGCACATATGTTTATTTCTTTATATTATTATATTAAGTGAATATTGTAACCAAACAATGGAATTAAATTAATTCACTTTAAAATGGTGGTTAATTCATTTACTCCATATGTGAATGTGAATGTGAATACAATGGATCAGCGACTAGATTGTGTATTTCTGATATTTTCATTAGACCTTGTATGGCTGATTATTTTTTATTTTGTTTCTTTAATGTTACTCAAGGATATTGCAGTATTCTAACCGTTTTTTACACGGGTTCAACAGTAAATTTTACGTTGATTTTAAAGCATAAAATTTCGATTTGAGGTCGTAATTGGACAAAAAAAAGTTATAAAGTTTGCTTTTCTATTTAGGAGACCGATAGTCGTTCTACCGGTATCTAGTAATACTAAATAATAATATTAACTAATATTTTTCAAAATTTGTGGTTTTTGTTTTTAATTAAAGATAAATTAATATGTGTATTGACATTAAAATTTATATGTTCATTTACACCTGATAATGTTGTCAATATTACAAAAAAGTCAATTTGGCATTTAAAATACCACACATTACTATTATTATTATTAATACATTACAGTTTTATTTCCACACAGACTAAATGGTTAATCAAACCATAGATAAATAAGATAATTTTATTGATTAAACAGATATTGAGAGGTTCGCAATGGATTATATAAAGATTATGAATTAGAAGTCTCACCAAGATGCAAGGTGTGACGCCTAACATCAAGATCACAAGCCGCCAGTACTCTCAGGACATCCATTGCTAGATCAGGCAAAGCCCTGGCTGCAGCCGCGCCTCCCACCTCCCGAAGCGCACTCAACTTCCCCACCACTATTAGCTTCACGTTATTGTCACTTTCCTTTACTATGAGTTCAATGTAGCAAGCTGCCGCTGCCTGCGATAGCAAATGTCATATGTCAAATATATTTCATATCATCTGTTCTGTGAGCCTATTTTAGCTAATCTTTTGTTAAATTTCTGATGTTATTATATGTACTATTTACAGAAGTTTTAAATAAAAAAAAAAAGGGTGCGTGTACTTATGTACGCGCGTAAGAAGTTATACTTCTTTGGCATTATTAAAAATAGTTTTTGATTGCATGCAAATAATTAATTACAATTAAATAATCAAAGACTGGAAAAGGAATCATTATAGTCAATAAAGTTCAGTTTACATTTGAAAAATTAAATAAATAAATATTTATTATCATTCTCTTACATTAAGTGTAACATAAATTCTATTATTAATCGAATGTTGTTTTTAAATTATGTCCAATGCCGTAGCATCTTCCGTGGGCAACTTCATTCTGTTAATTTTGTGTCACGGTGCGCGCGCATCGTAAAATTTCACTCTCATCAATTTTTCATAACGCGCCTAAAGAAGTATAACTTCAAAAAATTTCAGTGGCTGATAACCTAAAAACGTTCTTTAATTTGATGACATGACAGTTAACTAACACGTCAAACAGAACCATTGAGCTGGTCATCTAAGCTTTATTTTTCGTCACTTCTAAAAGTTAATTTTACTAATAAGTATGTTAAAAGATTTATACTTTAAAAAAAAATTGTTTTTTTTAATTACCTTAAGTGCAGCAGGGGCGTTGGATAATGTGATGAGTGTGCCAGCAGCTTCATAACGCACAGCGGCACTTGGTGCATTCAGAAGACCGTACACTGTACGAATAAAACGGGAACGCTCGCTTGGGTTCACATGGCACACCTGAAAAGTTTTTCAAATCTTACCAAAATAAATTTTTTGTAGTCTATGCGGAAAGCGAACCGCGGGAGATTTATGTACTAACTAGTATAATTCGTATTTCTAATATTTATTCATAAAAAGTATCGATGATTACTGACAAACTACAATGGCGTAACAGTGTTGTCAACATAACAGAAAAGGTGATTTAGCACTGACGCAACAAATTACAAATCAAATTACTTTATTTTTCTGTCCCTTTCTATGTTCCTATACATATGTATGTATGGTGTATATACACCCAATGATCTCATTGAAAGTCAGAGCTGTGCTCACAAGGCTTGCCTGGGTGTCCATAGCGAACTTACTGAGTGAGGCCAAATTAATACTGCGCACTACTATACCTTTTTTGTTATACTGCCAAAACCGTTTACGACATCGGTTAGAACAACATACCGGTAATATTGACCAAAATCAAAGGTTCCAGCTGAATTCTATTGTATTAGGTACTTAATAATAACGTCATCAACTGTTATGACTATCGGTTTTTACAACCAAATATGAGTAGTACCTTCGATGTCGTTATAACAGATTTTAACTTTCTTTGTTATTGTTAACACAATAACAATTACATAATAATCACAATAACAATTTGTGTATAAATGTTTCTTTCTTCCAAAATTTATAAAGGTAAATTGGTATAATTAAAAATTAAGACGCAATTAAAAAAGTATAGAATGTTAGACATAATGTTTTACCTTATAGATTAATTCTACAATGACTAATTGCAGGATATCACCAAATCCATGAACACTGTCCAGTCTTGAGGAGAGATAGGACAGTGCCCTCTCTTGGTCAGCATGTAACAGCATGAGGAACGCATTACGCTTGCAAGACATGTCCTGTTCACCTTCCAGGAAGTTAGCCACAAGTTCCGGGGCATCAGGGATGAGAAACTCAAAGTTCCTACAAATAAAAAAGAATATATTATATCTCATTTTGTGTATTAGGACATAGTCCCGAATGTTTATTAATAGTGTTAGAAAAAACAATATTTTCAAACATTTATGATATTTTAACTTTATATACTACAAAAGAGTATTACTCGTGTTGTAACTGATAAATAAAAAAGAATATAGATTGTTTTATAAATTTCAACTTTGTTAATAATAATATAAGAAAAAATAAATGATGTAATGAATGTTATTAAAAGAAAATAAATTGTACCTGAAGATTGTAAATATAGCAAGGACAGCATTTCTCCTCACATATGAATGTCTATGTTCAAGACAAGCTCTGATTGCAGGCATCAAAGGCTCCAGCAATTCTGGTTCTTTCAACTTACATAAGAAGCGAAGTGTTGAACCACGAAGAAACTCATTTGGATGTTGAAGATCCTAAAAAAATATTATTACTAACACTGTTTATACAAAATGCCATCTTGTCACTTCAATTATGGGTTCTCTAAAGCAATATTTTTTTGTAATGACAGTAGAGTATCTTACAGCTTGCAGATTAAATAAAAGTGTCACAAATAGACATTTGTTCCCATGACTATTGAAGGATTTATAGGCCCTACCAGTATGACAAAAATACCTTAATGCTTATTAAAAAAGTTAAGTTTAGTCAAAAAATAATTTTGACAAAATTTGAATTAGAATAGTAATAATGGTATGGGCTTATGACTTGGTACAATTACGACTATTAACATTGATTATAGGACTATTACCTTTCTATACGCGTCACATACAAGAATCATTTCTTGTAAGAGTTTGCCATCTGGTGAGGTTTTTGGGACAATCTCCCAAAAGATCAATAACAACTTCTTTATTGTATGGTCTTGCAGTGGCAATACAAATCGAATGATAATCATCAGAAGACCTGGTATTTTTTCACCAGATAAAATTATGCCAATTGTCTTCTTTAAAGCTTCAATTTTCTTTTTGATATCACCTTTTTCTGGATAGAAATTTCATTTATGAGTTTAATATAACTTGTATATATAAAATAACATACAATTTTGCAAAAGACTACTATAATTTAAGTTGAATTTAAAAACTAACCATCCAATCCAAATTGCTACACACAGGTTGACTAAAATTTTAAAATCTAAATTGATTAGTGTTATAAGAAAGTTAACCCCATATAGCAACAGCAATAAAAAATAAGATTATAAGACTATTTTTGTAAATGACGGTTTGGGTTTTAAATATTAACAGGAGCATTCCACATACCCAGATCAATCTTAAGTTGCATCTCATTGTAGGGCTCAGAGTCGGTTGGGAAATTAATTAAAGTATAACAAGGCTGTTCTACACCTGCCATTCTGCTGAAACAAAAACTACTAAATAAAATGTTTATAGTTATAAACAATAACTATTATTTTACATACTATTAATACCAACCTGTGTGAAAGTTTTGTTCTAAAACAAATAATTCATAAAGATTAGAAAATTTTATACAGCTCAAAGAGCAATAATAATAATTACTAAATACTAAAGTCTGCTTTAGGTGATTTTTTTATATTCATCGGTAAAGTTAGAATGAAATACGTGTCACCAAATTACAAATCGGAATTAAGTTTGACAAATGTCATAACTTATGTCTCACAACCCACACGTGACAGTGATGTTGGCTTTGTAATTACATCTGTCATCTGGTTTGTAGGTCCTTCAATTCTCGTCTGTGGAATGTGAATTCGGGCTTCGGCTTAAAGATAAAGATCTATGCCGCTCCCAGCGCTTTGTTTTGTTAGTTGTTACTTGTTTTCACATTTCAGTCGTAATTGAACAGCTGAAATAATATTATTTATAAGCCTATTCTTATGAACCATACCTTATTTTCATAATTTTTTTAACTCAATTCATTCACAAGTTATAGAAGTGATCTTTATAAAGGGTCTGTGTGTATAATTCTATACTCTAAAAACTAAAATCAGCAATCGGCTTACATTAAAGAAATGGATGTTTTAATATCTCTGTTTTACGTACTGTTCGCTTTGTGCATAGTTTTCCCTCCCACGGAGTTCGTATCCGCTGGATTCACAATACCGCAGCTGTTTGAAAGCTATCTTGGTTCAGAAGATAATAACTTTGTTAAATATCACATGAGGAGAATATCAATAACACTTTTAATACACTCCTTTTTGCCCTTGGGATATGTTGTCACATTGTGGTGTTGTGGTGAACAGGGTGAATGGATGCCTTGCCTTTTTTTTGCATCTTGTGCAATTCCTTTTCTTGCCCTGTATAAATTAACTTGTTGGTGGGAACATAATCAAATAAATCATCCTGTGGTGAAAGCTCTTCTACCCTATGCAGAAGTTGAAGGAGATTGGAGAACATTTGCTTCAAGCTTTAATATGGAATTTAGAGGGTATGTTGTTATTTGAGGAACAATTAATATTTTAAAACTTATTTACAATTTTATTTAGTTGTTTGATTTTAATAAATTCTATTAATTATTGAAATAATTTAATTTGCAGCTCTAACAATGTATTTATACCTTTGAATAATGTAAGCACAGTGAAAATAACAACACGCTGGATCATTAAAGTATCTCAATATAGTGTTAACCTGGTACAACAAGGGGACTGCACTTTAGTTGCTACAGGTGTAAGTAGTATTCTATAAATATTCTTTTTGAGTAATGGCTATTTTGTGTGTATCAATGATGTTTAACAATGATTTATAATTTCTTTTTTAGACTGACACTCATGACTTAGCCCCAACAGGTGAAAGTGAAATGCAATATCTGAACATAGAAGCCATCCCAGAAAGGGAAAATGTCAAACCTTTTTCATTTCGTATCTCATCAATAACTTTGCGGGAATTACAGCCTAGACTAGAGCGGCCAGTTAGGGTACCAGAACACATTTCGTTGATTCCCCCTTTGATTGAAAGATTTATTAGTGTATTCAAGGATCATGTTAGACAGAACCCTGTGTATTATGTAGATCAGGTAATTAATTTTATTAATTTAAAAATATACTCTATACATATATTGACAGTTATGCCCGCATGAAAGTAGCAATTATTTATTAATAAATTGCAATTAAAATTTCATCGTAATCAGTGGTATTGTAAAAATTAAATACACTTACTCTTCATTATTCCATATATATTTTTATCCACAGTTTAATTCCTACAACTCTACAATCCTACAATATTATAATGTTTCTATGCTTAAGTTGGTAGGTAGTAAAACACACAAATGAGATGTATGAATCACATACCATAAATATGTCTACTCGTTAGTAATATACAAAAGAGAATAGTGATTTATTGTATAATATTTATTTCCAACAGGAGTTAGAACAATGTATAGGATGTATGCACAATCAAGCTGATATTAAGATCAATAAAAGGTGTGTATCTGATTCTTTGAATGGGACCAGAGCACCTTGCCAACAGTGTAATTGTAGGTGAGTTTTAAGCAAAATATTTATTTACCTTTTAATTGTTTTGTATTCTTTTATTTCTTTTTTATTTTATTGTCTTATTTGAGTGTCTTATTTAACTTATATTACCTATTTAACTCAGCTACTTGTTTAATCTTTTTATTTATGTTTGTATTTTCCACACAAAGGCAGTGGTGAGTTAAATGTTTAATTATTACTGATTGCTTTAGAGTTCTTTGGTGCGCGCCATGCATGGCTCGTTGGTGGGCAGCTCGAGCAGGCAGCTTATCACCCAATGCCTGGCTGGCAGCACGCGGCTCGTGTCCGGTTTGCCGCGCTGTTTTTTGTATGGTCGACGTAAGCCCCGCTGAAAAAAGACGTGTCTCTCATTAGAGGAAAAACCACGGTGTGGCGCAATTGCGCTAACTCACTAATATGCAATGGTGCGTCAACCCATACTTCCAAAGTCATACAGCAAGACGTAAATCTAATTTCAATCTAGTATGAAAAGCCGTCATTTATGCTTCTCTGCCATATTTCTGATAATTTTCTTGAGATTCCTATTAGAATATGGGCCTAGCGCATGGCATGTCACTTGTACAACTATCCTAGGTAAATAGAGAATTTCCTCGAATTATAATTAAATAAATATATAAAATGCTTAGAATTTACTTTATTATTGTGTGTTTTGTTTAATAGTGAGTTAGCGCAACATGCGTCGATGAGAGGCGAGCTTTCTTTCTTTCAAATTTTGCGGAGTGCCTATCTGACTGATGAGTCTATTTAGCTTTCAATGTCACGCAAAAAGTAGTAGAAGTGACAATATACAAAGCTGAAGTACATTTAGTATCATAAAGTATTCTAAAATGTCTATGGACATTAACAATGCAATAAAAAAACTTTCTTTACCGAAGATTCAATTACTCAAGGAATATGGAGGAACCTTATGTTCAAGAATCCTTAAAACGGACTTCACAACATAAACGTTGGCCAACTCGTATAAGTCAGTAAGGTAATATCTCTGACAGACTTATAGATTTATCATATTTTTTTTATTTGGTAGAATGTGTATCTACATGTATTTTTATATTGGACAAGAGCCATTAGATGCGCAGCATACGTTTATACGGTTTTATTCTACTATAAGTACGTGTTACGAAGTTACGTCTTGATTACTGTTATTACATCAACTAGGTATTCGATTTAACGTAGCTCATGCTAAGTGCAGATCTCAACTACCATAAACAATCGAGTTTATGATTTACAAGATATTTCCTAATTAAATAAGGTGTTCAAATTTATATTTTCCTATATACATTTTATATTTAAAAAAAGACTGCTGGTATCTTAGTCAATAATACTTTACGCTAGGGTTGAACGTCATTCGATTTTTTCAAAAATTGGTTACGTGACCAATTCTTCTTCACTATTGCCACTCTCATTATATACTACAAAAGAGAGTCATATATCTCAAAGTATGTTTAGCTAAGGTATCGGATAATACATAGGTAAGCAGATAGTTTACAATTACTTTGCGACTCCCAGCTGAAGGCGGAGGATTGATGCTATTTTTTTTTCTTAGGTAGGGTCAGGTGGGGTAAATGCGAGTACCATAACTAGATTGACTTGTTATTTTGTGGTCTTTTACAATTTACAAATAATTTTTACTGTGAATATTAAACATGTTTTAGGCTTTTGTTTGATGTAATCACTTATATTTAATTATGGATGATTACAGATTAACTCTCTATTGCATTTACCCGGTGTAAAGGGGTAAATGTAAAAAATATGTTAAAATTCTAATAGTGTAGATAGTTACTAATCTGGGGTAATAGCAATAAAATACGCAAATTGAAATATAAGTACTTTGGTTTTTATTGCAACGAGATTGGTGAAAATCTGTCAATCCATCAGATTCAATAAGTTGTCAAAGTGTAGTGCAAGAAGTACTTTACGTGTATAAGAGATGCCAGCACTAGTTTATTTTGTGTGTAAACAGTTAAAGTTATGGTATTACATTTGCCCCGTTCATTCATTTACCCCACCTGACTATAATATAATTTAACATTTAATTTTTTAAGATTTATTTTTAAAATTATTAAATGTCTTAAAAGTAGTATTGGTGTTAGACAATTCAATGTTTTATCATCACATAAGTTTCATTCTTGCCATTTCATGTTCACAAAGTCATTATTTCATTTAATTGTAATAAACAATCTCAGTTTTGCCAAAGACAGTTGTTGTATTAATTTTATAAATAATGCACCATTTTAATGTAATCCCAATGAATTGTCGCAACGTTTTGTTTTTAAGTTAGTTGTATTTTTAAATTTTAATAAAAACTCACAAAAAAAAATCTTTATTTTAGTTTGATGCTTTAATGCGTTTTTAAATAATTGGTATTTAGTTTTAAGGTTTTTTTACTTAATCATACAAATTACAACTACTTATGTCATAAAAATTAATTTTTATACCTTGTGTCTACAAATTGTATCTTTTAATTCTTTAATAAATACATTTAATGGGTATTATGTGTTTTATTTAACAGTAAAAAGTCGAAACATGACAAAAAAATTAACGGCCAAAGTAGTAGTTAATATTCCACAAAAAATTGTCTATGTCTATTGTTTTATAGAGAAAGTAAATTAACTAGAATATAGTCTATCAAGGTCTGAGAATACGAGATGGTATCAACAAATCGTTTTCAATCGATTTTAAAACGTGTAATTTGTTGATAGCCATCGTCGATTAACCTAGCTATTTAAGTAAAGAATATTGAATGCAACCAGTCATTTACCTATTGGAACCACATTTGATTTTTATTCATGTGGTTTTAATAATGAGATCCTACACTCGAGCTGTGAGACGATTTTTGGAGACAACCACTCTTCATGGATTCAAATACTTATTTGCTAAATACTATTGCGATAGGTAAGAAGGTACTAATAATTTAATTTGACAAATAATTCTTCTTAGTCTCGTCTTGTAAAATGTGGTTTTGTAAAAAGATAAATTTACGATTTTTGGGGTTTTTTTGGGGGGGGGGGGGGTGGGGGGGGGGGGGTGGGGGGGGGTGGTTGGTTGTTTTTTTTTTTTTTTTTTTTTTTTTTTTTTTTTTTATTTTTTTTTTTTTTTTTTTTTTTTTTTTTTTTTTTTTTTTTTTTAACAAAACAAACAACTCTACAGCTTTGTAATAGTAAAATATAGATAGGATTAAAATTGCTTTAAACCGATTGTAATTGCTTTAAACCGATTGTTACTTACAAATTATATCTACATAATGTAAGTATAAACTTATTGTATCAGAATAGGATGGCTGATATGTTGTTGCGCGAGCGCCGGTTGTGCCGCGGTACTATGTACTGTGGTATGGGCGCGGTTCCTGCAAGTTCCCGCTTTGCTCACACTTAAGGAGGTCGCTTCAGACCTTGATGAACTCGAAATGCCCATGGTTGCTGTCTGTCCACCACCGATCACAGTTGCAGCAATGTTTACTAACCACTTGTAAGTGTAATATTGACAAAAATCATATTAGGTATATTTTTTTCATATTGGTTTGGCACACATGATTGACAATAAGAATATTTAATAAAAATATTTATACTTACTACGAGTTTTCAAATCGAGGTAATGAAATCAAGGAATTGACGAGGAATACTAGCAATAAACTTTACGGCACTTTTAAATCGCACTTTATTATCATGCTCCTTATCACATCTTCGGGGATCTTCTGTGAGGGAACCCGGTTGGTAGCCGTGCCGGTCTAAGACGGTTGCGCATGACTGAAGGTATATAAATGAATTGAACAATGATGATGATAATAATGAAAAATATATGAGAGGAGGCTTAAAATTTAATGAGCTTCGCTCGTAGCTGTTTATAACTTATTGAATCTTTATACATATTGTCTTTTCTTTTGGGAACGGGAAAACTACTTGCTCTTAATTTTTAAAGAATTCTTGAATTTTTAAGATCAATACGTATCTTGATATGCAAGTATGGATTTTCTACAAATTTTTCAGTAATGTGAACGAGACCATAGCTGAAAGATTTCCGAACATATTTGAAAAGATCCTTCGAAGAAAAAATGTGCCGGAACACCAGCTTGCACTTGTCGACCAAGTTTTAGAGCCTCATGCGCTGACTTTCACGGAAGCACTTTTCGAAATAATGCCTCCGTGTAAAGATATCGTCACTAAATGTCAGTGGCAGAGGAGATCAATACCTTGCAATCGTCTATTTGAGGAGGATCTCACTCAGTGGGGAGTCTGCTGTGTTGCATCGCGCGCAAGGTATACTGAAACTTTTACTGAAAAATTTGTCCGAATATAGTAGTCTGATTATTAGATGGTCATTTTTTTCAGATTTAAATCAACTCCAACTTCAGAGTTAGATATTACACGAAGATTGACTCTCGCTGTTCAGTGCTACAATAAACCGATGCTTATAAACTGCCATGTATGTATGTATTACTATTGTTCACAACGGGTTTGCCGGCGGTAAATAAGAAAACAAAAAAATATAAACAAATAATTCTGGATAAGATTCTAGCGGTAATAAATAATTTTACACAAAATGGTCGAACCCTTGCGAAGAAGTACGTGACAAAAAGTTTATATACAGTGTAAACTCTATGCCCTACCCTCGATTTAACGACAAACCCCCTAAAGCGTGGAAATCACTTACTTGGATTAGCTTGTCTTCCATACAATGATACAATCTACATAGCATTACATACACCCTCAATAACGACGTTTGAATAATAAAAGTACTTTTTACGTTACCGAAATTAGTAAAAACTCTAGAGCCATTTACGTTCTTTTGTCGCTTTATTGTCTTAGCCCGTATTAAACTCGACTGTCTCCATCATACGTACCAAACTTTCTAAGAAATCCGTTCTACTGTGTACAAATTGGGATTGCTTGCACGAGGATGCCTCAATATCGCAAAATGAATAAAATAATTAAAAAAATACAACCTAATTACTGGTGCAGAAACGACGTCAGACGAAAATAACAGACAATATGCAATAGCGTTCAAATAAGCATTGTTTTTATGAAATTACAAACACTAGTCTTAAATAAACTGTTTCTAATACAGATTTTTCTTTTTTCCGTTTAACGACAACTCTTTGTAAAGTCATAATGAGCACAGTCCCTTGAGTTATATAGAGTTTACAATGTATATGAAAGATATAGAAAGTGTACATGTGGGCATGGCAGTGCACCCGCCAAGTCGAGCAAAAAAGCGGCACGGCCGTATTCCGTTTAACTAGTAGTTTATGAATTATAACTAGTCAAATTTCTAACTGACTAACCGGTCGTCAAAACTCTAAGCATTTCTAGCAGATATAGAAACTTCAAATTTAGAAAACAATTAGTGAAATAAATCAAGGAAAACTAAAAAAACAATTGATTTGGTTGAATTGATACTATAAGATGTTGTTGGCTAATTACGTGATAACTTTAAACAGAAGGTCCCTTATGTACAGACTGAATAAATTAACCGACTTGGTATAATATGATCAGCTCACAACTTTTCACGGTAGAAGAACTCCGTTGTGAGACTTGGTTTTTTATAAGTTACGGCTGCCGACCTGGCAAACGTCGTTTTGCCATGTATATCATTTGTAATAAAAATAGGGGTTGATCGTAGAGGGATGAAAATTAGGGGGTTGTATGTATTTTTTGATGCTGTATCATAAAAAAATAAAAATTGGGTGGACTACCCTTAACATTTAGGGGGATGAAAAATAGATTTTGTCCGATTCTCAGACATACCCAATATGCACACAAAATTTCATGAGTATCGGTCGAGCCGTTTCGGAGGTGTTTAACTACAAACACCGCAAGAACACGAGAATTTTATATATTTGATGTTTTTCATGGCATAATGTTTACTATTAGCTATATACTCGAATAACTGATTATTGAAGGTAAAAGAATTTGACTATTTTATTAATATCAAAATTCTATTTAGTTTTTTACTAAATATGATGTGGAGGAATGGTTCGAGCCGTCGTTGCTATACTCCGGACACTTGTATAGAGCTCAACTGGCCTTCGCGTCCGTAGTGGATGAAGATCCTCATAAATTACTGGATGGCACCTGTGCAGCCCGCCAGTTTTATTCACGAAGTCGTTGTTTGGTAATTATGTTTTTTTTGTAAAAAAATATCATTGCACAGTGAACGTTGTAAGCTTGTTAATTAAACATTACACTAATTTAAATACTAAAAAATAGACATAGATAAACAGTACCGTTATTAAGCTACCCACATAATAAAGACACTTATTTTATGCTAGTAGGTGTAGAGCTGATAAGCTTTTAGGCTAACTGAACGTGATGTACTAAAAGTCCAAAAAAAATGTTCCTGTAGGTATTTGTAAATATCTATAATCTCTTTTATGTTCCAAAAATGCGTAATATACTCAGGGGGCAATAAATTACGTGAGGTGTTTTTTTTTTTTAATTTTCTGTCAAAATCGGTGGATTCGTTCGAGAGTTATATTTTTTTTTTCAATCAGAAAAAAAATTGCGTGATATTTGCCAAGACCTTCCCCCTCTCCAACGTAAGATTAAATGAGATTTGACTCGACCCCCTTCCCCCCTCAAACACCTCACGTAATTTATGAACGCCCCCTTAGTTGAAGTGTATGGAAAGCCGCTGCGGGTGTTTGGATGTTATACGACTGAGCGACGATCCAGATGAACCGACAAAAAGGCTACAAACTTGCCCGCTTCATAAACTAAACTGTTTGAGAACCGACAAACGAGGTACCTATAACTTATAAGATTACTTATATTGGATAATAGTCCATGACCCGTGTGGAGTAGACACATTTCTGCGTCTGTTTTATTAATATTTATTATTAAACATTAAAAGATGATCAGTCATATGTGTGTATGAACACATAATGATACTACATACTCACATGCTAATGAAAAACAGAAAATTATAAAATTATTTTAAGTAATATCTCTTGCTCTAAATAAGTCATTAATCCCGATTTTCAGAGAAAACAACGTGTGATTGTTTGCCAACTTGCAAGAAGGTGTCAACACGAATGATAATCGAAACCAGTCGTATGAATGCTTTTAACAATGCTGTAGATAATATATAGTAAGTTCATAATAAAAAAAATATTAATAATTTATCTTATATATTATAATATCTAATAAGTAGTATGCAGTATTATGTACTAGCGGTACCAGTGCGGAAAAAAATACAGGCGAATTTCGTCAATTTTAACCAATTCAAAACTATATACAAATTTCTACGTTCTATCAGTTTTATCAAAAGTCAAAAATCATTTAATCATACAGGTAACACAATGTACACTTATGAACGTCAAAAAAGAAATGTATATGAAATGCTTCTAACTTTACATTTAGTGCCAGTTCCCAAATCACGGGCGTAGAACGGAAGAGAAGAACTGACAATAAACTCTCCGCTACTCTTTTTAATCGCCATGTTTTTTTACACAATGTTTGTAAGGAGCTGCAACCACTATACCATGGTCCACATGACATCTTAAGTAATTAATAATAATAAAATAAATTAAAAACAAAGACTTGTCCTCTATCAGCAGGAGGTATGGTGAAATAGGAGCACGCACTTACATTCTCGTGGGAACAACACGCAAACTCATAGTCGAAATAACTAACATCACCGCATACACTAATTTAAGTACGACCAGTCACCACAAGCAGCACCCGTTCACGAGTATGACGCATGGCCAGCCATCGGCCCCCTCGCCTCGCGATATTTTAGGGAGAGAGACCACCCGACGCATGGATCGCATTTTAGGATCTCAGATATGAAATTGACGCGATGTCTACGGTCTACCTTCGCCAAATGAGCAAGTGTATTTTGCAGAAAGAAAATTACAATTAAGTACGGCCGTACGGTTAAGCCACTATGCCAAATATATTTATTAGGTCACACCTGCCTCCTTAATTTAAAAACATATATTAAGTTTTCTCAGGTCATAAAATTAGAACTCTCAAAGAAATCTGTTTTCTAGTTCTGGATTGAACGTGTCAAAGGGAAGTGTTCTAACTATTAGCCTTGGTATGACTGGTACAGTCGTGTCCATGGTCTCCCCTACGGAAACATGGATTACATTGCTCTGTATGTATTCAATGTATCGTACTTCTACGATAATTATTTATATTTAAGTACTACTACCTTGATTTTGAAGTTATACTTCTTTAGGCGCGTTATGAAAAATTAATGAGAGTGAAATTTTACGATGCGCGCGCACCGTGACACAAAATTAACAGAATGAAGTTGCCCACGGAAGATGCTACGGCATTGGACATAATTTAAAACAACATTCGAATAATAATATAATTTATGTTACACTTAATGTAAGAGAATAATAATAAATATTTATTTATTTAATTTTTCAAATGTAAACTGAACTTTATTGACTATAATGACTCCTTTTCCAGTCTTTGATTATTTAATTGTAATTATTTGCATGCAATCAAAAACTATTTTTAATAATGCCAAAGAAGTATAACTTCTTACGGGCGTACATAAGTACACGCACCCTTTTTTTGTTATGTATTATATGTTATATTTTGTTGTATAATATATGTTATTTAAATGTAAATGGTAGCAGAACAAAATATTAAATATGTCCGTCTCACGTTATAACAGAACTCAAACTGTGTTAATTTAATACATTTTTAGAGTGATTAAAAATTAATCGAGATTTTATTTTCAGCTTCTTTAGGAGGAGTATTTAATATGTTTCTTGGTGTTGGATTCTTCAGCTTATTAGAGCTTTTATTTTTTATTTTAATAAGATTACCTATTGCTTTTCAGAGGTCAACAGAAATTAATCGGTATAATTAAATAATAAAAATACAGGATAATGCAATATTAGTGTTGTAGTCACATTTGTATTATTAAATGTTTTAGCTTTTCCACCAGTTTTTGGAAGTATGCTATCTGACATTTCAGTTCTCCTACTTTTTATGGTGCGTTCCACTAAACGCTCACGACGATCAAAATTCTCCTTTAGCCATTCCACATACCGACCGCGGTCGTTGTGGTCACGGCGAAAACGTCACTCATGACGTCATGACTAATGTTCACGCAAGGCCACAACGACCAAAGAGTGGAAGTGAATGCGAATAATTCGGCGCAATTTTTGAAATTGTTTTTGAAATATGATATTCAAAGCTTAAAGATGGCGACAAGAAAAATAACATTATATGATTCTGAAAGAGAAATTGTAGTAGAAGCTATCGTTTCTGAAGCTGAAGCTGCTCGTGCAGAAACAGGTAAATATAATTATGCAATATAAGTTTAATACAATTGATTTTAGTTTATATTCAACAGCTATTTATACATTTTTCCTGTATAATGGATAGCATAACCTAACTCAATGTAAACGATATTTATTATCATTAATAATATATATATATATATATATATATATTTGGTAAATTTATTTTATTTGTAGATGTATTTTTTGCAACTGACTGTAATATTTACACGATCGCCCGAAACGCTCCATAATCCATTCCACTTGAGTTAACGACATTAACATTCACAATCAAGTGGAATGGGGAAATCAGCGGTCGTGAGCGTGAGCGTTGTGAACGCTTAGTGGAACGCACCATTAATATGCTTACTATTAATAATTATTGTTAATTGTCATATCATAAGTTGTTAAAGTCAAAACTTGTAGAATTGTAGATATCTGTTAATCTGTAGTCAAGACTACGTCAAAACAAAAGTACACGTGAGTGTGTTTGCTGCACTTATATATTTTTTTGTGATTTACCGTTTATTTGATACTTGTATATTCTATTCTCGAAGCAAAGGTGTTTTATCTATTAAATATAATCCAATATTAAAAAATGTCGTCGTGGAAAAAAGCCGCAAAGGCTAACCAAAAAACACATCGAGAGCGGCATCAACCAGATTCTCGTAAACATTTGGGATTACTAGAAAAGAAGAAAGACTATAAGAAAAGAGCAGATGATTATCATCAAAAGGGGGAAACGCTTAAGCTTATACGTAAACGGGCGCTCGATAAGAATCCAGATGAGTTTTACTTTCACATGATCAATTCAAGGGTGAAGGAGGGAGTAAGTTAATAGTTTTACTAACTTGAAAATAGTTCCTAAATAACATATAAATATTTACTGTATCCTGTAAAATTACAAATTGTTAATGACTAATTTGGTATATGGTGATTTTGTATGCATACATAATTATATATGGTTTTAGGTACACCATGAGTTAGAAAAAGATGATGAGCACTCAGTAGAACAAATCAAGTTGATGCAAACTCAAGATATAAAATATATCAATATGAAACGCACTATCGAAAGTCGCAGGATCCAGAGGTTACAGGTTTGTGGTTTATCTTTGTAAATTTAAAATGCTTTTTTTCTATTTTATTTCTCTTATAATACATTTTTTCTTGTTTTAGTCTCAGCTGCATATGACTGAGATAGCAGACTCTACATCTAACACGCACATTTTTTTGTGGATGAAGGAGAAGAGAAAGACTTTGATATTGCCAAAAGGCTGGACACACATCCTGCACTTATCAACAGGAAATCAAATAGACCCCGCCTTTCAGACCTGAATAAGTTAAACCTGCCAGAAATTGATGAGAAGGTAACATTTTCTATAAAAAAAATTAATGTAATTTTATATAGCAGATAAATAAATATTTCACTTTAAAAATAAACTTAAAGATAAATCCTTCAATAAATATTTAAGATCAAGAATAAAAATGAAAGTGCATTTTTAGTTAGTCTTCAAACTAGCACATGATGTTACTTCATGTTCACACAGTAATACAAGTACAAGGTAGGTAATAAAGCAAGAAGGGGGGGGGTTTTTCCCCCCCCTTTTTTTTTTATTAAAAAAAAAAATATAAAAAAAAAAAAAAAAAAAATTTTTTTTTTTTTTTTTTTTTTTTGGGGTTTTTTTACATGTGATTTTTTTATGTAGATACTCCAATCAGCCAAGAAAGCTAAGGAACAAACCTACAAGGAATTGTCGAAAAGAATAGATAGAGAAAAGCATTTAACAGTGACTCAACAGAAAATGGAACTTAAACGGCACCTCCATGACGCTAAATACATGAAACCTAAGAAAGTACAGAGAGGTACAGCTGTATCAGCACCAGTTTATAAGTTTCAATACAACAGAAAGAAATAAAACACACTTTGTTGGAAATCTGTAGTAATAAATATTTAAATTTCTTTATTCTCTTATTACAATAATCTCAAGAGTAATTAATATCTTAGTTATATCCTAAATTCTCACTGACATTATTTACAAAATAATTGTTTAATTCTTATTCTAATTAAAGATTTACCAACCTTAGCACAACATGTGCAATTAAATTGTTAATGCAATTCTGTAAGTGAACATGTATTTAAAAGAATTAATTGTAAATGTATGGAGTTTGTTGCTTTATATCAACTACAAACTCTTGATTCTTAATATTACTTGGAAACATTTTGTGCTAAGGGTACTCGAAACAAAATCTTTTTATGGGTGAAATTTCACAGCTTTTATCAATATACTTAAATCTAACAGTCGTCTAATTCACAAATACGGTAACTTTGTCATATTACTTAGTGTCTAAAATCTTAAAAGCTGTTATCATTGCACAGCAATGATCATGCTTTTGTCCAAGTAGAGTATATTTGCAGTCATGTAAACAATTTTTTATAACAATCAAATTCTCTACACAATTTAAAAATGTATGTCAAATCTATGGATAGACATTAAATTCACAAGTTATATGTTAAATTTACAGTTAAAACCATATTGGTAATTTTAATTAATACACACAACCGGTAACAGCATTATGTCCCTGTAACTTGTAAACTACCATCACTAATTTAAGAACTCACTACCACAGAACACACTTGTGTTGTGGGTTCATAGGTGATCCTGAAGGACATTGCCAGGCTTCTGCAAACTCTTCGGAGTTACTGAGGGTTCCTATAACCCGAATTTTATTCGGACTATGCACACCTTCCACCATTTTGGATTTTAAAGCACCCACTGTTGAGTTGCCGCACCAGACCTAGAAGATATGTTTATTTAAGTAAAGTAGGAGTATGCAAATGCAAAGAGCAATTAAAAACCTAAAGAAGATATTTGGAGCCATTCATAATTTTTGCTAACATACTTTGTTCCTAACATCCTATGTCATCAAGTTGATAATAGTTATGAACAAAAGAGATATTTATTTTTGCTTACGAAATGTAAATATTTTATATAATAAGTAATAAGGACAAATTATAAAATATTATTATAATTGTTATATAGATATAGAATATATAATTAAAGAATGGTAAATATATTTTTCCCCGTTGGGTTAATTTTACCTGAGCAAAGCCTAAAAAGAACAGTTGTCGCGGCGTATATTGCGGTAGTGCGGGTAGTCTCATACGATCTGCGACTGGGTGTCGTTTCGCGTACAGTGAGTAAGCGTCTAACGCTGCACGTATCCCGCCATTATCTGCTATGTTCTCGCCTTGTGTATTGAATCCATGGACCTATGAATGAATTTATTAAACAAATACATAAAAATATTGTAGAACAGTTGTATTTGAGTAGTCTGTGGCTTATAATCTAACAAAAGACATAAGGGTGCAAGTATAAACCACTTGCTTAAATATATAGTAATTATTTTCGCAATATTCGAAATCATTAATGCGTTTTGACTTTTGAAACTTCTCTAATCTATAGCATGTTAAAAGATGTGTTGATTTTTCATAAAATATTTTGACACAAATAAAGTATTAACCGTAATAGTAAGATCCTGTGTTAGAAAATCGTAACTCAATATTATGATATCGACGTAGGAAAGCATATTTGCTGTAAGTAGACAAAATACTAAAGTGACTTTTTCCTGCCATTAGAATCAGAAAAAACCGCATCGATGACCTGGCTCCTGTGTCTCTACGATGAAAAAAATTACTACGCCGTTGAAAACGCCCTACTATATTTTTTTAGCAAGATTAAATGCTTTTAGACCAAAATCTAGTCATTTCAACTTTTGCACTTACAGCAAAAAGAAAATCTGCATTTTTTTCTTTACAAATACTTACTTCTTCCCATTTAAAAACTTAACGCTACTTACAGCATTCACGCGTGTTTTTTACATTCGTTTACTTACAGCAAGTTTAGGGAACCTACAGTTTTGGTTTTTTTTTACCATTTACGACATTTTATTTCAACCAAACATTACATTACCAAATGACCCACTGCATTTCTGATCTAATCATAATTATAAACTAATCTTACATCTTGATTGCAATTAAAAGTACCCAAATACATAAATTTCCTGCATACAGCATATTTACCGCCTGTAAATTGATAATATTTCCGCGCGTACATTTTTCTTCCTTAGTTACAGCGTTTTAAAGGTTTGTGATTTAAAAAACTGTTTGCTGTAACTAGCCAAACACGTACTTATAGTAACTTTGGATAAAAAGTTTATATTGCAAATGGTGACTGGCAGTTAAATAAATATATGTTTCAAAAATGGTAGCAATATCATGGATAGGTCAGACACTATTAATTTTTTTCCGAAATTAATAAAAGTTTTTTGGCTCTGGTGAACAATTGCAATATGTCTACTTACAGCAAATTGCTTTCCTACGTCGATATGATAACTCATTTTCCGATTTAAAAATAGTTACTTTTTATTTAAGATAAATTGGAAATAAATAATGTTTTGATTTTATAGTTTTACTTAATAAAGCATTAATTAGTATAAGTATGCTTTAATTAGAATTATTTTAATTTATTTATTTTATTATTTACCTCGCTACCTATATTATGCCGGTATCCGATTCTGATCAAACTTGGACTGTTTCCTAAATTACTGTAGGAAGATAGAAATATCTCGATAAGACTTACAGTTTTCGAGAAAGTTGTTGATAAATATACATACACTTACGGAATTAAGCTCACGTATTTGGAAGCCCAATTAGATCAACAATATCTTATACAAACTCTGGATAATTTTAATTTTTTTTGATGTCGGTTAATAAAAGTGTTACCGTATAGTTAGGCAACTGCTGCATATGGTATTTCGAGTATTGCTCAATAATGCACTGCACTTTCCCGTGGTAATGTTCCAGCGTTGCTGCGGACCACCATTGACGCAGATTTCCTTCTTCATCATAACGACGACCTAATGAATATTAAAATTGTATAACTTTTGCATCTATTTTATTCATAATCTTTATAGTCTGAGACAAAATCCCTTTACGGTATTAGGTTATGTATTATTGTATGAGAATGACACTATGCTCAGAGAGCATTCTCTGTCACGTGACCATTTCCATACAAATTAGGCGTTAGTGGGTCACGCCTGTCTATGGATCGCATCACAATGTTTCCTTCAGAATTAATGTGTGAAAAGAAAATAAGAAAGTTTTATTTGCACAATCGAAATAAAGACATTTACGCATTAATTATTTTATATTAATTATTTTATGATTAGTATCTATTGCATACTTTGAAGTATTATAATCATTAGGTGTAACATAAAGGTGCTTACGTTTAAACACAGAAAATGCATGAAAGTCACAGAAATCAAAAGCACAAATTTAAAAAATTGTAGCGCCGCAGGTGTTTTAAAAAATATAGTATAATTCTCACCTTGGTCGTCAAATCCGTGGGTAACTTCATGTCCCATTATGGCGCCGATCGAGCCGTAATTGATTGCTCTAAAATATAATAAATAAAGTTTTCCGAATATAAAAATGTTCAAGCTAGAATATCTTACGATACGTAAAGAAATATCAATATGAAAAAATATCTTTCTCCAGACCACATAGAGCAATGATTGTATGGATTAGAATTGCTGTTTTTTTATAACAAAAATACAAAATTCTGTTCAAAGTTACATTTTTTCTTCTAAGCTATTATTCTATGTATAATATTATTTTGCCTCTAGTTCAGATTTGTTTTCCTTTTATCAAGGCCCAAGGTGTCAGGCTTTATATTATAATAATGAAATATGCTTACTCAATTCCATTTCCATAAAATGGCGGTTGCAGGATACCAGCTGGGAACGCTGTAATTTTTAGTTATTTATCAAACAATTCAAAATATACAAAAATGAACAACACAACAAAAATATACTCACTGACTGAGTTGAGAGTTGCTGAATAGAACGCGTTAACCGTAGTAGCTGTTGCTACCCATCTGAAACGTTTAAGTGGTTAGAAGTCTAAAGCCGGCAACTAAACTAAGTGTAAACTAAAATAAAGTTGTTCGTCCACCAAAAAATAAGCTAAAACTATGTTAGTGATGGCTAGTTTGTGCTAAAACGTTGAGTTAACCGGACCTTATGGCTGAAGAGACGCGCTATGACGAGAGTTCAGAGGAGGATTACAATAGTGGCGTAACAATAGGGTGGCAGGACTGGCAAAATGCCACTGGCCCCCGACCCAAGAGGGCCCCTGCCAAAGAGATATTATGTTCTATGGATGAATGTGAAGTCTTCAATACGCATTGGGCTAGCGTGGGGACTACAGACCATTCCCTCTCGCCTAAGAGTGGAGGCCTATGGCCATTAGTGGGACATATACAACGTGTAATTGAATACGCTGAAAATCTCGAAGTTTATTAAAATTAAACTGAGTACAATGTGACGATTATTACTGATAGTGCCCCATCAAAAGAATTTGCCACGGGCCCCAGATGGTATAGTTACGTCATTGCAATAGTCATAGGAAAAGAAGAATAATTATTTCTCATTTTATAAAGAAAAAATGCAGACACAGACACTGGATAAGTAAACACAGTCCATGCTGGAAAACAAGTAAGTAGCGAATTTAACTATGCGATCTAAGCTAAACTGACTTAGTTTAGTGACGGTCGGACGGTGATCAGCTTAAGTCGAAGAAAGATATTATATTGCTAACCTTTGCCTATATAATATGCTAGGTAATCAAAGGGAAAGCTCATAAGTATACCAAGCGGGAGCAGAAGCAGTCCATTTTCGGCCCTTATCAAGTATACAGCTCTGTATTCTTAATATCTAATTTCTAAATATAAACCTTTTTTTAAAGAGTATTTTAAGTTCGCGTATAAATGTATGACCGTTTTGTTTTTTGAAGTGAAACTTCTTTAGGCGCATGAGGGTAACATTTTTACGGATGAAACGCAAGAATAATAATAGCGTCACGAAGATGTGCAGCGTTTTTGTAGAAGTTTTGTTTGCCAAAGAAGTTTCACTTCTGACATGTGTACTTTGTACGCACGCACTATTTTTTTATGTAACATCACCTGATGTGATGAGGCATGCAAAGGTGTTGGTAGGTGATGAAACAGTCCTAAAAAGGTAGTTGAGCTACTGGTTTGTTTTTTTACCATATTTATTTTAGTATATAGAAGAAAATAACTTATATACTGAAGTGAAGTGAATAAGGATTCAAGAAAATCAGTCTGTTCCTTTTTATCACAGCGTGAATTCGACAGGAAGAGACTTTTAGAGTTTGTGAGTTAAAAGATTGGAGACTGATTTAGTTTTTATAAATGGTTTAAATTTAAGTACTAAATACATTTTTCAATATTACCTGTTTCGATCCGGTTTCTCTCTAAGTGATTTGAAGGACTTCTCGACGGCCGCGTTAGTTAACTTCAAGAATGTTTCGAAAAGGTTACCTTCTATTACTTCTGCCTAAAAACGTAATAATATGTATAAGCGTGTTTAACCAAATCAAAAGGGCATTAAAGATACATATCAGAATGAGCCTAGTTAAATTAGGATGGCTGATGTGCCAACTACACACATACCTTCTCATAATGCCGGTCCAGCTTAGCTTTTTCCAATAGCCAAGCGGGGAATCCCACAAAGTTCCTTATCGCACGTAATTTGCGCAACGTACGATCTCGCGTACTTCCATCCATCCATTCAAGATGGCGTACCGTTTGCCCGAACGCCTCTCGAACGTCTTCTACCATTTCTATCGCCTACAAGATATACATTAAAATAAAATATAATAAAAGTTGATTTTTTAACATTTATTTATTTGATAACATTCCTTCGGTAAGCGGTTAAAAAAACTTAATTTAAATTGTTATTAATTTTAATTGTTAAAGTATATCACACGAGTATTATAACGTCCAAATAAAATAATAATATTAAACCTTTATTGACAGAAATATGGTTGTGACAAAACTGATCTAACGCTAGTACACACACTAGGGAGTGTTGTTAAGTAGATTGCAATTATTATCCCGTGGTACGTGGTTAAAATGTAGTCTTTCAGTAGTATAACGTCTAATCAAACAAAACAAATTGTTTAATTGATGAAATGTTCACTATTACAACAAATAATAAAAAAAAGCTTGTACCTATAACTTGAATAATATATTTAATATTCTACCTTAATCCGTGACGCATTATCAAAATGCTGGTTGACGTAGAGGTAAGACAGTGCAAGACCAAAGTTGGCGTTAACGTTGGCGGTACAGGTCTTCCATCTTGGAGCACGCGCTCGAAGCCCGTATACTGCACGACTGAACTCGAAACCAAGCTCACGGAACGAGGTCAGTGTCATTGGTGAAACAGTCGAGAATACGCTCCACCAGATGAAACGCTCTGAAGAGATTTTTATAAATAATAAAATAGAGGAACAAACACAAAAAAAATTATCGAGTGATTTTGTTTCAAACGTGGTTTAACTCTCGGATATTGAGAGTTAGTACTTTAAAATTCCCAAAACTATTAAAAGCCAGTTAAGAAAAGTTATTTCCCATATAGTACGGGAGGTAGCAACGTTTTCGAGAAAGAATTTCAGGTCAGCTGATTTTGTGATATGTCTTCCTTCTTACACTTTCGGTTAGAGTCTGGGCAATCTGGCTGGCGGTAGCGGTTGCGTTCATTAGTGCGCATCCTATCTGTCCAGGTAATAATCCTGGATTTTAAAAGCATTTTAAGAAGCGTAATTTTTAAATTTTCGTTTTTAAATATGTCTACCTGACATACTTATTTTATTGCCAGAAATTTTTCACATTGCTTACTATGTGCCAGACGCGATTTTAAGTTTTTTTTTATAAAAATTTCAAAGTATTTTAGAATGTCTGTAATTTTAATATTATGTTATTTAAATATAAGAAAAACTAAAAATGAATTTGCCAGACATTAATTCGATTGTTAAGTCTTGAATTAAAATGAAAAAGTATTGCAGTATGATGAAGCATTGCATTTTAAGAAGTGTAATTTTTAATTTTTCGTTTTTAAATAAGTCTACCTGACATACTTTTTTTATTGCCAGACATTTTTCATATTGCTAACTATGTGCCAGTCGCGATTTTAAGTTTTTGTTTTTTAAAAATTTCAAAGTATTTTAGAATGTCTGTAATTTTAATATTATGTTATTTAAATATAAAAAAATCTAAAAATGAATTTTCCAGACATTAATTCGATTGTTAAGCCTTGAATAAAAATGAAAAAGTCATGAAAAGTATTGCAGTATTTACGAAAAATTAAAAATTACGCTTCTTAAAATGCTTTTAAAATCCAGGATTATTACCTGGACAGATAGGATGCGCACTAATGAACGCAACCGCTACCGCCAGCCAGATTGCCCAGACTCTAACCGAAAGTGCAAGAAGGAAGACATATCACAAAATCAGCTGACCTAAAATTCTTTCTTTTCAAACGTTGCTACCTCCCGTACTAATATAACGATTTATTTTCTGGAGAGGAAGTCTGAAGAAAGGGACTCTAATTAAGCAACAGGGGCTTCAGACAAAATCACTTTTCGACAGGTGTCACCCACTAAACGAATTTCTATGAAAATGGTCAGGTGACAAATCGTGAGTTTATTTAATTCCAATTCAAATTTGTTTAGTGTTTGTGAATCACGTGACTCATAACGTGTCCGATAGAGTCAGTTTCTTCAGACTTTCTTTCCGGAAAAAAATCGTAGCAGAAATAACTTTTCTTAACTGGCTTTTTATTTTTCGGTAGTATGACGCAGTAACTCTCAATATCTAAGAGTTAGACCACGTTCAATCGAATCAACGCCAAACCACACTTTGACAGTTGATGTTACTGACAGTTAACATAGTTTTGCTGACACTATTAAAAATTTTAGAGTACCGTCGCAGTTGACAGATAGGAGTATTAGAGTCCGCGCCACCACTGAATGCCGATAGACGCGGCGTTAGCGAGTAGCGCAGCGTAGTAATATGTTGCTAGTGCTAGGTGCAAGGCTATTTTACCCCAACGTAACATAAATTAATATGAAATTCACGAACTACTCTCCAAGATTTGCTTCTAATGTTTTATCTTAAAACTAATAAAATAATATTTCTCTGTAACGAAAAATTTAGTTCCCAGGGTTCCCGTCGGCAATGAGTGGTGGCGCGGACTCTACTAATGCAATGTTTAATCACGTATGTCAAAATGCAATGAATTTTTCAGTCATACTCAGCTCTAAGTTTCGACTTTGAATCCTTAGCTTAAATATCTACATAAAAACTATGTCTCACCGATTAGCACCGGTTCAGTGGTTGAAAGCAGAGTCGCCAGTTTCTGGAGATAGGGCAGGTCCATGACGATTAGGCGGTCCTCATGAGGTTGAAGTTCCACTGATGTGTTGCTGAAAACCAGCTTCAGGTACTTGTCCCAGTCGTGCTGAACAGATTGTTATTGTAATGTAAACGAAATCTTCGTGAAAAAAATTGTTGTAAGCAAAATGCACTCGATTAATAATATTCAATTTTTTTAAGAGCAATACGGGACTGTTCCTTTCGAAACCTGGCTGTACACCAAGGGTCTTTCTATGTGCGCATTTAACACTCGCTCGTACAGTGAAGGAAAACATTGTGAGGAAATTGGCATGACTTATACCTATTAATAGCCTGTGTCAGGCACAAAAGGCTGAACACTATATTCTATAGCATTATAAACCTTCAAATTTTATCTCAAATTCTGCAAAACAAAGAGTCCTACGAATAAAAATGTCGTGTTATTTTGCAAAGAGCTTTTGATAAAAAAAATCTTTGAATAATTGGAGATTCAAAAGACAGGACTAGCAATAAAGACGAACATTTTTAAGCAGTCTCGTCTGTTCTACGCTCTTAATTTGAGAACAGGCAGTAAATGTAAATTTGGAATCATTATTTTATGTCCTGAATAAATTATATAATTCTAATGAAGCTTCGGTCGTTATATTTGTAAAGGGACATACCTCACTCCACTCTGCGGGACCAGCTCCGGTTCCCTGCACGAACTGATACACGCTAACATCGTGGAACAGGTGTGTACCACTACGGCGGACTTCCATTGGGGTCATTATCTTTAAATTAAGATTTAAATTCAAAGGGTTACTAAACTTGTATGGAAAGAAACTAGAAAGATCATCTCTTCGCCCGTTTGTGGCACAAATATCTAGTATTTTAGGATAGTTCAAGCTTATGATTATAAGTAACGAGGAATCATTGATTTTGAGCGATCTCTATAATGTAAAAATAATTATCATTCAGTAAAGTAAATTAGCTTTTATTTCAAACACACAAATATACCGTAATTACTTTTCTTAACCTACTTAAACAGTAATAATGATTAAAATGGATACGTAGAAATAAAAAATAAAAAAAATGTTTGGTCCTTGTGGCATTCTCTCGCTGTATTGCGGTACTTATTCTTTGAGCATGAAAAGCACCAGCACTATCTACCAGGCGCAACTTTAATCTTTAATTAGCGTCTATTCACTTGAACCCCACGGCCCAAGACTACAAAGGGACCAAAATCATAGTTGGAGAAAAGACTTATATTTGAGCTGTTTATTATTTTCCGCCTCGTTATGTTAGTTTTATAATCGTTTACTGGCTATTAAATTTTAATTGTTGATTACTACATTACAAGTATAACGATACTTTTTAAATAGGACTTTTGTAAATAAGTCGCTATCATAAGTTAAACGTTTTTAGATCAAAAATTTGGTTTAAAATATACTCACTCTCGCTAGACTCTGGCTAGTCTCAATGATTTCATTTGCGAACTTCTCAGCATCAGTATCAGGATCTACGATGGTGATCATCTCTTTGATGTACTTGCGGTATTGTTCCAACTCCTGCCCGAATTGCTCAGGCTGGAGGAGGTAGCGTTCGCTAAAGCCAGGGGTCACTTGCTCAATCTGGAATTATGTCACATTTACAATGACATACATTTTTAAGCTAAACTAAACTCAAAAGTTTAAGCGTTTATACTCGGCAGCTAGGTTAACGCAAATATTTAATAAAATCATATTTGTATAAAATGATAAACATTTTATTTACATCTCAAACAAACACACAAAACATGTAAGATGAAAATTTTTAAAAGGCGGTCTTTTTTATTTTTCTAGAAGTTTTTTCTAGACAGCTCAGATTTAAAATTATTTAAACTGAATCGGCAGTGGTAAGCAATTTTATTATTTAAGAAGAAAATTACATAAATATATTCCGTCTTCTAAAGTAACTTTTCAATCGACAGTGACATTACAGCTGATTTTCATCACTAAAATATGTCTCTCTGGAATAACACAAATAAATATACCTAAAATATACACAAGAGTTTCTAAAATCTTTTAAGTAAATAATAACATGAAGGATTTACATATTGTAATGAATTATGCTAAGGTGCACGTAATCTCAGTAACAATGAACACGGATGTTTCAGGATGATCCACAAGGACGCATCTTGTCACGAAACCTGCTGATCCAGCCGATAACCGTTGGAATTTTAATCTTCTCCATTGTGTTTTATATTAGATGCAGCTCAGACAACATTCGGGACGAACTGTTTGATTACAATGCATAACTACAGGTTTAACAAAGAAATATTTTTTATGAATACAAAATATATACCAAAAAATGATTAAATTGCCTTTACCTTCTAGTATTGATGACAGATTGCTGAATTTGCTTCCCCATATTAAATTTGATTTTGACTTAAAAATATTAGCTATCAAATGCCAAATGCTATGTGTTATTTATATTTTTAGTTTTCTGTTTTTTACCACTGAACTAAATTCGTTGAATTTTGGTATAGACAAAACTGAATTTTTTTCCATTCACGAAGTTACGTCTTTTTAGTAATATTAAGGGGTCCGATCCTTAGGCTTTTTAAGTATCTACTATATTCGGCTAAGAAATAAAAATAGAGTAATTTTGACCCTTACTCATTCCCTAGGTTTAAAATCAACAATATCTTCCAAATTCCTTCTGCCAAAACCAACCTAGGAGTTCAGGCACCTCTCGTTCGAATTCTTCGCGATTTTAACAAATTGAACTCAGCTTATCCAGATCTGGATATATTCGGTAGTGGGCTGATCGGTTTTAGAGAAAGCATTGTGGGGTGCCTTCGAACCTGATTTCGCTGTTTTTTTTTTTTTTAAGACAATTCACACCAATTGACCGAGTCCCATGCTAAGCTGGTGAAGCTTGTGTTATGGGTACTAGGCAACGGATATACATACATATTATAGATAGATAGACATATAAATACATATTTAAACACCCAAGACCTAAGCACAACACCAAATGCTCATCACATCGATGTTCGTCTCAGCCGGGGATCGAACCCGGGACCCTTGGATTCGCAGTCATGGGTACTAACCACTAGACCAATGAGTCGTCGAGCTGTTTTGATGATGATTTTCTTTTTTTTCTGCTCTAAGTGGCAACAAACTTCTGTAATTTTATTTTATTGTGTGCTTTTACTATCGTATATGTTTAATTGTATTTTTTAATTTTTAATTTCTATTTAATTTTTTTTGTGAAACTTATGCTTACATTAATTGGCACACATTTTAGATGTGAGATTTTGTAAAATAATTGGTAATTTTGGTACTGTGTGTGCTGTCGTGGGCTTAATAACTAAATAAATAAATAAATAGACATAGATAATAGATAGATTTTGATAGAGTATTAATAATACTACTCTAATTTTTAAACACAAGACCAATGTCAAGAATCATGAGTATGAAAGTAGTAAGTTCACGTTTACGTAATACAGTTGAAGTGAAAGTTTTTGGAACTTTGCGCTCGAAAGGGTAATTTTAATAAGCGTTGTATAATAAACCTACGACCAAACATTAATTGCTGAAAAATGATCGCTTTATTGCTAGAATATCTCTGAAAGTTGAAGGCTTGAGGGCGTGATAGAACGTGATTCCATTCAATTCTGTATTTAAAGTCACGAACGTATTAGGATTAGTTCTAATATTGCGTTTTTCTGTTTAGCCTTTATTTATGTTTCCTTGATTTATGTGTTGTTCATTACATTTTTTATTATATTTATATTTGATATGTATGTGTAAAAGTTGTAACGTCATATTTTTTTAAATTTGTAAGCATCTTATAAATAAATAATTACAAGGTACATCGCAGGTAAAATAAATAAATAGTTTTATTTCTACAGAAAAAATAACTCTGAGAAAAAAGTAAGTGAAAATAACATTTCCATAAATAATCCATATATACAGGGTGGCCAAAAAGTCGTGGATCAAACGCAAATAGGGGATACATGAGGTCATCATCTACAAAAAATTGTTCTACGGGAGGTCTCTAAGCTCAACCCCTGCAGAGTTATAATTTATTTTGTGCTTTATAATAAAATTGAAATTCTTCCTAGAAAGATATTAGAGCGACTTATGGCCATGTTTAATACCATAATTCAGAATCCCTATTAAATGCACCAAAATTTGTAATACAGAGTCACTTTTCGGTAGAGTATTTTTTTTTCACAGTGGGGTCCGAAGTAAACAAAAAGTTTTGATTTGAAAAAAAATTTATATCGTATAACTTAATATTATCTTCAATACACTCAATAAACAACTATAAATAGTATGTCTAACGCAAGAATTCATCAGTACCAATCTAGTGGATATTATGAAAAAGATACAGGATGTATTTTTTTTCGAATTTTAATAAGAATTAGTAAAAAAAGTCAATTTTATTATAAAACACAAAATAAATTATAACTCTGCAGGGGTTGAGCTTAGAGACCTCCCGTAGAACAATTTTTTGCAGCTGATGACCTCATCTATCCCCTATTTGCGTTTGATCCACGACTTTTTGGCCACCCTGTATATAATAATTTACCCGTAGCTTACGAGTATTAGACAAAATATATGACATATATCTCATCGGTCCTAGGTTAAATTTTCAGAAAACTAATTATTATTTCGCTGTAAGAACCCACTTATAAATACATAGAAAAACAAAACTTTGTATTCCCATAGGAAAGTAAAATACTCCAAAAACTTACCACAACCCGGTTCCTGCTAGTGTTCCTGACATCTTCTGCCACCTGTACGCTGATCAGCACGTTAAGTCCCAGTCTTCTTCTCACTCTAGCTGACACGTCTTCCCAGGTGAAGTTGGCGCTGACGGTGCTGGGAGGCCGCGATGGCAGACCGAGACTAGTTAACAGTGCTTGGATAGGTTTGATGCCTTCTGCTTCCATTTTGTCTGCAAATCACAACATAGTATAAAATAAAGTCGCTTTCTCTGTCCCTATATCCTTATGTAGCGATTCTTAAATCTTTAAAACTACGCAACGGATTTTTATGCGGTTTTCTTAATAGATAGAGTGATTGAAGAGGAAGGTTTATATGTATAATAACATCTAATATATAAAATTCTCGTGTCAAAATGTTCGTTCCCAATCTCCTCCGAGACGGCACGACCGATTCTTATGAAATTATTCAGTAAGTCAGATAATCGGCTACTTAATATCTATCTTTCAAACCCCTAAGTGATAAGGGATGTTCACCCCAAAATTTTAATTTTTTTAGAGAATTTTTTTTTGTTTTTATTTTTTATGATACAGCATACAAAAATACATACAACCCTTCATTTTCACCCCTATACGATTAACCCCTATTTTTTATTTGTTAATTAAAATCTTATGACTTGAACTCTGAGGGAGAAAAATTCACAAAAATACCTAAAAAGTTTTCATTCCAGTAAACTGAACAGTCTCTGGGGTAGCATAGTAAAATGTTCCATGTTAGTATGCACTAAAAAGGTAGGCTAAGTAAAATCACATTAAGGAGAAACGAAGTTTGCGGGGGCAGCTAGTAATATTATAATTTACAATTAGTAGTCATTATATCAAATTCTGAGATTACTATTGTGTTTTGTTTAACTAATTTATGTTTATAGTACGATTATCTATTAGATCATTATTAATAGGTCAGTATTCTATTACCGGACTTAAAAACAACGAAAAAGTACAATAAAGATATATATCAAATAAATAAATAAATAAGATACAAAATAACTAGGTATAGCACATACCAGTATCAATACAAGTCCTGTACAATGCCTTTGCTTTAAGTACACTCTTGGGTAGATCCTCTCCATCACCAGCCTCCAGCACTTCTCTCAGGTCCGAAGTCAGCTGCTCCCGAAGCTTCGCCAGTTGGTCCCAGGAAGTCGCCCATTCTGGGACTGGATTCTTCTTAATCCAACCACCACATGCGAATTCGTAGAAATCTGTGCATGGCTCCACATCTCTGTTGAGTGCTGATAAAACTCTTGATGCTGAAAAATAATAATAACTGTAAGTTATACAACACAATGCAGATATTGCATATCTCTAAATAATTCATTAACACATCAAAAGCGTTTAGTTAGTGAATCGCCGAATCAAATATCGTCGCAACGCTTTAAGTTCTCTTTAAATTTGAGTTCGAAACTGTCTATTTGGGTGGCAGATTTTCCGATATACCTTTATCAAATTTCCTCTATAGTTAAAAAAATATAACAATATTTTAGAGGTAAATAATAATTTGCATGTATTACATCTTTTGACATCACCATTCATCAATTTACACCGCATCACCAATAAAGTAGGTACTTGGAAATACAGTATTTCTACATAGATTACAATAAATTAACTAAAATATAGGGAGTTAAGTGCCCTGTTTTTCTTGAGAGTCTCAAGACATGAACTCATAATACACCGGTTGTACGCCGTACACATTTTAATAAACCATTTTAAATTATTAAATATACAAACAATAATAATTTACGTGAATATTACTTGTAATTACCTAAAGCTAATTATTCATTAAGTCACCCCAATACCATCGGTCTATTTTTTAATCACGTAGATTCTAAATGATAAATTATTAAGTAACAGATACATACCCACTTCAATTAATAACAGCAAATTTGCGGCCATTTAGAACCCTTATTATCACAACAATTAATTATAATATATAAAATTATATTTTATAAACAAAAAACCCGTATTTTATAAGTGTCAAAAGGACCACTATAGAAAATAATATGATCTATTTTCATATTGTTTTTATATTTATGGTGTTTCCAAAGAATTTAAGCGCATTAGAACTTGTTTATAATATATATTGTCCCTAATAACAAAGCCACGTGTTGAACCACTAATTGTTAGTCACCATCATTAAAATCATACGTCATAGGTTTCTTTATCGATATTAATTTACGTCTAAAACCCAAAACCTCTGAAATAGTGAGAGTGACAACCACAATAAAATTCACATGCCTCAGATTTCTGAAACTGTTTCATGATCATTTTTTAAATCTAATAATCGTTTCCTCACGATGTTTTCCTTCACCGTTTGAGCAAATGCTAAATGCGCACATAGAAAGAAATTCCATGGTGCACAGCCGGGGATCGAACCTACGACCTCAGGTATGAGAGCCGCACGCTGTAGCCACTAGGCCATCACTGCTCATCTTATCCATTTTACAAACCGCAATTTATAACAAACTTGACTATTCTGTCATTTACGTGCAATGAAAGTAATTTAAATTTTCAATTTCAATGTAGCAGTTAAACCAAAATTTATTAATATAAAAGATTTACTAATTACACCTTCACATATTATATACCTTGTAGGGGTAAATCGTAGGCGCAAAGCCGAATAAGAAAATAGTTAATATCACTGCGCATTTTCTTATGGTTGATGCAATAACAGTAGAGTATTGATGAAAATGGCGCAGTTTAAAATTAATTGGTCCACACGTGCCATCTATGTTATGAATAATTAATTTGTGTACTAAATTATAGGTCACTAACAACTCGAGTAAACAATATAATTATCATTCGTAATTATTAATAATAATGTTTGCATTACTATTGCTTGCCTGGCTAATTACATTTTATATTAAATAGGCTTTGATGTGCTAAATGTGTTGTAATTATGGTGTATAGGGTTAGTTTTCAAACGGGCCGCCTGAATTTTAAATAAATAACCCGACTTCTTGGGAAAATATCCCTAGCCACCGGATCTTCACCTATGCCTTCTTCGGTAACACTTAAAGCAATTGCCTAAAATTTAATTTCAAATTATATTTTGAGAATAATTATGATATCTCTGCAAAACATATTCCATAAACCAGTACTTTAAATATAATAGGGTAAGGTCATTTAAAACTAGCAACTGTTCTGTACCCTGAATATCCGGCATAATTTAGAGAATTTAGTAATTGAAAATTGAATTTGGACCTCGGGCGTAATCTATGATTTTCATTGAGTATTATGATGATTTAATAAAACACTATTTTGACCGGATTGAAGTTATGTATTATTATAAATTTACAACTATTTGACGTTTCGCGTGCTTTACAGCGTGCGTGGTCACGGTGACGCACGCTGTAAAGCACGCGAAACGTCGGATAAATTTAAAATTATGTTAAATAGTTGTAAATTTATAATAATACATAACTTCAATCCGGTCAAAATAGTGTTTTATTAAATGAATAAAAGTTATGTTAATCAAAGACAATACTATATTATGATGATTTTAATTAGCGCGTATTATGCTAAAAGCTCTGTACTCATATGGCTAAGGAATTCGTGAGTTATTTACATAATTACAGCGATTGTGATGATTGCAGATGCGTATGCAAATGGGGTGGAACTTCTTCAATGCATTCTTTCGGTATTCAAAGCAAATGCCACATAACTTAGCTCATACATAATATGGAAATGTATTTACTTAATTATTATGTTATTCCAACGTGTATAGTACACGATATTGAATATTAAGGGATTGTTACACGTGCGCCTAAGCAGCTGAAATATGAAATATTTTTGTAAAAACATATAGGGATTACAGTAAATTTATAAAGCGCAGTACTGGTGTAATATTTGTCACATAATCAATATTTTAGCCCTACAAATAAAATCTACGTATATTTCAAGAAGTGATTCGCGCATTTTTACGAATCCAATTTGTCAAAATAACGTTCTAATAACATTATTACATATCAATAGAACTGCAGATGATGTGAGATGAATACGACTATGTGTGGTAAATTCATATTCGTGAATTTTCCAATAGATAAGGTTTCCGTGAGGTAAATGTACAGATTTACTGAGAAATCTACACTTTTTTGCTAGCTATGACGCTAAGGATGTGGCCAGATGGTTTTAATGAAAGACTCATTAATCAATTATCATATTACGCGTGAATTAATTGGTTTATTGAAGGCAGATTTCTTTCCATATAAACGCAACTAATCTTAATAATTCTATGTATCGGTGTTTACAGTACAGTTACTGTAGTAGAACTTCTATGAAAGCAATTACTTTTTAAGGCCCTCCTTTTTCTGCATTCCACCGTATATAGAGCTCAGACCCAATACGTAGGGCTAAGTAAACAGATTTAGTCATAAAAATATCATTAGCAATAAAACGTTGCGCCATACTCCATTAGGCACTGTTACGGTGCTTTTTCTAAAATGAGCAAGGCCATCTTTTGGCAACAGTATTGGAGTATTTTCCTATTGCGTTATACCATCTTCTGCGCTACGTGGGTAACACTGAAAATGTTTAGAACTGGCCTAGAGTTAAAAACATTGCTAATGAAAACATTTTTTGAATTTCAATTTAAGAACTCTTTTGTAACATAATGTAGTATATTGCATTCATTTGTCACTTGTTTTTGTGAATTGGCGGCAAATCTAAAACTCTTGTTACACGTGAAAATGAACCTAACGCGAGAAAATTTTCGGTCAATGATTTATTATGACTTTCGTTGTGAGCTTACTCAACAAAATAGCTATGCTGCGTTTAGCATTTCTTTATGAAGCCCCATCTCGTGCCACTATTTACAATTGGTTTAACGAGTTTAAGCGTAGCAATCTCAATCTCAATCCGCGTGAGAGACGTTCTTTAACAGCGACTTCTGTGCTGTGACATCATCAGTGCTGTGCGACGTATGATAAAGGAAGAATAGTGACCTATCAGCAGATACGGGCAAGCCTAGGCATTGGTATGAGTCAAGTTCAAAAAAATATTACACGAACATTTAGGCGTCAGGACAGAGCTCTGTACCTGATGAATTCTTTATAGGTACTTTAACCAACAACCAGAAACACCTTCGCATGGACTGGTGCTGCCAAATGTTAGATAAGTTCAAGGGCGGTGACTCAAATGCTGTATTTGACATCGTCACAGGTGATGAAAGCTGGATTTATTGCGGTGAAGACGCGGTGAAAGCGTACGAAAATGCTATAGAAGAGACCTCTAAGGAAGAATGGGCCACTGCTTTTCTCAGTGATTCCATCGAATGCAAAGATGTGTAGAGAGGAACGGATATTACCTCGAAAAACAATAAAGGTATTTTTCTACATCAAGCTGTTTTTCATTTTCTAAACATTTTCAGTGTTACCTAGGTATAAGTTGGCTCGTAATTAGTTATCATAACAATCAAATATACAGCATTTACCATTTTCTTAAACATTAATTATTTTTATTATTAATGCATATATTAATAATAAAAATAATTAAAACTTAATGAAAAGAAAATTAAAACAAATTTCAAAAGTTGGGTAAGCTCGTAATTGATATTTTGTAGCAGCTAACACCAAATATCAGTTAATAGTAACTCAAGTACTTACCAGTACCAACACAGACTTCGCTAAGACAGGGTTTCGGGCTTGTATACTCGGTGATTACCAACACTGTAGTATACACGCCTAATGCTATAAGGCACAGCCCTAAAGCTATGATCAGCACCGATGAGCAGCGAACTGTTCTTTCTCTGAAAATAAAGGAACAAATATAAGCTTCTATATTTTTGGATAATCAGCTTCTAGGTAAATTAACTGTATTCGGTATTGCGACTATGGAAGAGTTGCTGGATCTGGCACAAGACAAGCCACGCTTCGCTTCAACCTCCAATTATGGAGAGGCACCAGAAGAAGGTGTAATTATACGTAAATTGATAATTGGATATGTGTTTTTATTTTTAATAACTATTAAAAATGAAGATAGAAAAAATATTTTTATTATTATCTTATACAGAAATTCTAAATTCTAAAATACTTTTTATTTTCTTTCTTAATCTTCGGTTCTACAATTTCTTCTTTTATTATTTACTAGCTATGTTGGTGAACTTCGTACCGTCTACCAGTCAATAAATGTCATGTTTCAGTTTGGCTGAACTTAATTTATGATTTTATGAAAGTAATAAAATTAATACAAAAAAAATTAAATTTACTACAATGTACTTTGATTTTGCTTGCTGCTTTGTATATTTTTCTAGTTTACACAAAATAAATTTCTGAATGCGTGCATAATTTTACAACCAATATGTATGTTAATCCTTTTTATGTTACTGATATTCATTTACATTTTTATAATCTAAAATATCCGAATATTGAAGGTATATATTATCTTGTCAATTCGAAAAACTTTATTTACGTTACGTCATTTAATTTGTGGGGAAAGTCTACCATATCGTCGGGATGAACATTAAATGTTAGACAGACCCATGAAAATGTTCTATTGAATTTAATTTTCGTAATTATCCTTTGTTTTAACGCTATTCGGATCGAAGACAAATGCAATAAATCAAAAACCATGAAAATCGGTTTAGCCGTTCTTGAGTTATAAGTGTAACAATATATGTATATACAAACCCGACTTTGTATATACATATATTGTTATAAGTCTTGCTTTATATATTATATATTATATATACATAAAAGAACAGGTAACACCTCGGTGCCTAAAAGGTGCCACAGTACAAATTTTATAAACTAAAGTTTAAAAAAATTATAGTTAAAACGAAATCATACAGGGAGAAAAAAAAGACGTTTTTATACCTTATACATAATATTACATCTATCTTAAATTTCTGGAACCAAGCAATAACATCCCAGGTTGGCTATAAATTCCTTTTAATTTTCGGGTGTTACTGTATAATTTGAGGGTAAAAATTTAATTTAAAGATTACTTCTTCCAAACAAACATCCTTTTGATACGTATTAATATTATGTATTTTAATATACTGATTTAATTTAAGTTTCTCAATGAAAATATTCAATTTAATATAATAATTTTAATATTATATAATTTAATTTCACCAAGCGCCGTTTTAGTAATAACCAATTACAATATTTGTGTCAGTCGACAAAGTGTCGGTACGGAAGAGCTCTTGCAAATTGCTTATTAATTTAAGATATTCAATTCTTTACGTTATGACCTGACTTTGTTTTATCTGCTGGGATGTGATGGGATTTAAAAACGATATCTATTCCTATTTAGGTTTTAATATAAAAAATCTTAGTAACAAAAAAATTAACTACTTCAAAGTAAGCCATAAAATGGGAATGAATTTTGTTTGAACAGCCTTTCTCGGAATTATTATTAAATATTTCAATTAATAAAACGTCATTGCTATTTATTATTTAAAAAAATGAATGTTACAAGTTTAATCTAGAGTAATAATAAACTAAGAATAAACAATAAACTACAAGCTCCCACCTTATCAGAATGTCAAATCATAAAATGACTGCTTCACGACTGATTTGAGAGCGACCGCCGATGCGAAAACCGCTGTGTGAGTTCGAAAAGTGAGTTACAGAATCGCAGGGCTGAGGTCATAAACAGCCGTCTCCGCTTTGTTATTGTATATATGTATACTGTAGGAAATTTTGGTCTCAGTTACTAAACGCACCACCGTCACCTATCGCGTATTATCAGTCGTAAACAAACTTTGAAACTGTCAAGATGGCCAGTAAAAGAAAATCGTTATATGTTTAGAATAATTTGACTATTGATTGTAATAAAATAAGAAATTATTTTAATTGGTTAAATTTGGTTCTTTTTGCTATTCCCTATAAAGAAAATGCTGGATCCCTTGAAATTCGTTATAAAGAGTTTACACTGTATATGTAAAATGTATGTAAAACAAAATAAAATTGTGTTTAATAAAATACACTGTTATAGAGTTTTTTCCGTAATAGGCGTTAATTTAAAGTTAAAAATAACGCGCAAAATGTAAATTGGCTTCAATTACAGTTTATAACCAGATAAAACGGCTAAGATTTAAGCCCCCTAAGAAGGATTGAAGAAACCGGAAGTCATTGTACAAATTGGCTTGTCTTGTATAAACGATGCTCGACGAGAATTTTTTAATGGCGCGTTAATAATTTATAGGCATGAAATATTTTAATTCGTATTGCTTTTTAATTGGTGTTTATGTTGTTTTTGTTTAAATTATGATGCTGTCCCGATACTTTGCGTGCTTTATTTGCACATATAACCGAAAAGTGAAAATTTCAAAAAAATCAAAGAGGAATAAAGACGCGTTTTAATCCAGATTTAGTAAATATTTTTGATTGTGAAAACCGTATAATAAGAACGCTGAAACATATTAATTTTTGCACAAATAGTAATACAGACAGAATATAATAAGATTAAAATAAAAGAAGAATGCCATAGAACCGACTAAATCCAAAGAAATCTGGAGTAAATTGGACACAGTTATCTATATTTACACTTACTGTGTTATCACAGTAAGTGATGTTGAAGGAGGCCATCGCATCAAAATATTTTTTTATTTGTTACGTGAAATGTGTAAAAGGTTTTTGGTAAAGTTGTGGAATCACGGCTCCACGTTTAAACAGTTCCAAATTGTTTTCTACATATTTTCATTACTCAGCAATGGTGTACCATGCAATAATGTGGTGACAAGATTTAACCCCACAGAAATTAATTCAATCATCATGATTTGTGAAGTTAATGAAAGAAGGTACAAGATGTTGGCTTTAATCTAACCTTTTTTTTTTTTTTAATAGTTTAAGGGGTGCAAATCTACTGCGCCTCCTTAGTTAGGTTAGGCTTTAATCTAACCTAACCTAACCCTTTTTCTATCGTTCTTTACGACTTGTATGTTCCCCAAGTAATATTAAGGAGGCGCAGTAGATTTGCACCCCTTAAACAATTAAAAAAAAACTGATAACATGCATGATGTAAATGATATTGGTCTCAGTTAAAATTCTCCAAACAATTTAGCGCTGTGTTAAGGTGGAGATTAAGAGATTAGATAAGTCACGTAGTAGTCAAGTAGTAGTAGTATGTGTTATATCAATTACATGACAGTATAACTTAAGAAGGAAGTCGGGAAATCGAGATCCGTTGGTAAACTTATGTTTGTAATCATTGTGAATTATCTTAGGTGAAAGTAAAGTGAAAGATTAATAGAGATACGCAAATATATATATTACTCATTCATTTAACGCGATGACACTCATAAAACCGTAGTTTTGGGGTTCAATAGTAATGAGTAACTAAAAACAAGTAATAAAATAAGTTCTTGGAAGCTAACATTTGCTAAAAAATGTGAGTGTCCTGGTTTTTCAAAGTAAACATATGTTTTAAAGGAAAATTACGCATTTCTTGTTAATGATAATAATCACTTTGTTCTAACGGTGACTGTTCCGTGTTTAGTATTCAACGCACGACGTCAACGCACGCCTTCCTTGCACATGTGCCAGCTTGATTTATTGAGATAAAATATTCTTTTTACATGAAGGTGAAAATATTTCAACATTTTAAATTATGGAATCTTAATTAAAATAGACCGGTGGCCCCAAGCCCGGTGCTTTCCTTGCTGAAGGAAGTATCAATACAAATGCAATACAGCGAGGAAATGCTGCCAGCATTAAAGATACAACGCCACAGGAATAAAACGTTTTAAATTTGTTTAAATGTATTTTTTTAAATTAATATGTACAGTTTAAGGTAAAATTTAATTATAATTTTATCATTAAATGATGACAGGTATAAATTGTAAATACATAATTAATAATTTCCATGAATTGAATGCTATCTTCATCCTTTTTCCCTCTTTAGTTGTTTGTATTAGGGACACATAGTACACACACAAAGAAAATAATTATTTTATATATGAAGGTATATATAACAATAATTACCTACATTTTAAACTTTAGCCAGTCGTCAGAATATAAAGGACAGGAAAGTATAAAGTACGTTGGTACTTTGTACTTCGCTTTAAATTTCATTGACCTACACTATCATTTGCAAGCCGTAGTAAATATTTGTATGCATCTGAGCACTTCTGTAATCGAGACTCTAAGCACGTTCCAGCTATATTTTATTTTTGTACAGTGAAAATAATATAAATGTTTTTTGTCACTAGTTATTAAACTGAAACATTGAAAAGATCAATTTAAAAATTTTCCTTGTCTAATCATAGCAATATTGTGACTGTCATCCCTGAGGATCAAACCCCAGATGTGCACTAATAGCCTGTACATTCTATCTAGCGTAATCAACACTCGCTCTTACGGGGAAGGGAAACATCGTGACGAAACATGCCTTAGACCGAAAAAAATCACAAAACAGATAACAATATCTGAGGCTAGGAGGTTTTTTGTCCAACTAACAGTTTTTGTATATCTTTGTTCTATAATATATTCATATAAAGCTGTAAACTTACCTAATGTTTTGATTGATATAACGCTCACATATTATATGCCTAAATTATCAATGAAACGTTCACAATATAAATACTTCTAAAATATTATTATAATAGCTTTTCCAAACTCTCATAACAGTTTATGATACTGTATTCAATGAATTGTATTCAGACAGGCGTATTGATTACTATTATAACATATGCGATCATGTAACTGTACCCCATGTAGGCGTAAGTACTGTATTGTTACACTTTCTATTGAGATCAAGATAATACGTGTAGTTAAACACTCAATTAAATTTTGATGTCAAAGTACTGTTACCAGTTAAATATTGGTTAAATATTATCACTTTTTCATTAATAGATAGGTGTATAATAGTACGAATTGAATCTATACTTAGAGAATAGATATTTTTTTATTGTTATGATAATACAATACTGTAGAATTCAATACGATAAGTAAATTTACAGTCCGCCCTTCAGTCGGTTTAAAAAAAACTGTATTACGGTACGAAGGCCTGTAGGGAGTACTCAACGAACCGTAGGAGTACAAAGAACAAAATTACATTATACAGCGAAAATATTTCCAGTTGCGTATCTTAAAACCAAGTAAATATTCTTAACCCCATAGAAACACTAGCGAGTGATACTTGTTGTGCAAATGATTCATAAATTATGTTCAAACGCACCATACACCAAAACATTGTAAGATGGCATTATTTCAACATCGAAACATTCAACTTAAAATATGAGGGTACTACTTAAAATATAAAATGTAGGTAGTTGTCTATTAAGCTGATTTAAAGTATTAGCCAAGTAGTTCGAGCGCAATATAATTATTATAAATAGCGACAGTGGTTGAATAAATAAAATAAATACAACACTAAATTTGTTTACAATTAATGAGGAAGGTCTACTCAGAAGCGAGGGTAACATCTAGTATGACATCAAAGGCTTCTAATAACAATGATATTGCAAAACATGTTCTATGAAGAACACTGCAAAGGTCTGTATGACAAGTTGTTTCGTGGTAATGTAAATATTGCCAACGAGTTTAAAGTGTACTGCTCTTTTATTAAAATTTTCCTGTAATATACACACTTACTAATATGTAATGACCGTAGCCATAGATGGCTTTCCGTAATAAATGGATGTTTACCGCCCCCGGTTTTTACGTAGATAACTAACTGACTGCTATTATTAAGTATTAGTGTCTACTTCTCTTGCTCTAAAACAAATAAAAGTAAATGAGTGCACATCGTGCTGACTTTAATACCTGAAAAAACCATTATTGTTTCTCGTTACTGCTAGCGCGGCGTCATGCTTTAATATGTCCTTCTCATGTTGCAAAATTTTAAATCGTTTTATACAATTGCAGATGACAACGATATGTGTTCAATTCCACCCACACGATATTAATAAATGATGAAGGATCATTGTTCAAGTGATTCAACGTCAGGTTCATTGCCACGGCGGAAATCGGTCGGTCAGCGGTTGTATTTAATTAAATCCGTGCACGTTCGCTACTTTCTAGCCTTTGAGTGCGATTTTAGTCACAAGCGGTAGCGTAACATTAAGGTTTAAATACAACTTTTTTTTACAAAACAATGCCAAGTTTAAGTAGGGTTGCCTGGATCCCTTAATAGCGATAAGGTCGCTATTTTTTATATTTTTTAAGCACCATGTTTATTAGGTTTTTGTTAATATTATTACTTAATTGTGTGCAAAATGTGCCATAGCATATTCCTATTCTATTAAATGTTAATAATATAATGAATACTATTCTTACTCAAAAAATGTTTTAAAGTCTTAAAAATTCATTATTAGAGAAATAATATAATTTACTTATAATCGTTTGCATGCCTATCATCACAATATATACACATAACAACATTAGGATTATAAATACGATTATATTCATTTTAAAGTCTGTTTCAGTGCCTTGAACTTTATATTACAAGCGTTGAATACAGACATTATTTGATAAGATGCATTGATTTAATAAGACTAAAGATACATCCGCTTTTCCCTTAAAGCTTAATTATATCATTTGCTTAAGCTATTAAGTTTATGGGATCATGATATAACAGTGATCATTACTGTCAACACCCCCCAATAAGGATCTCACTTTCTCTTCTCTAAATCTGCTTTCATAGCGTACAGGGTTACACTTTAAGTTACAAGTACTTTAGTCAATATGTCATTGATTAAAAGTGTATTATTTAATTGACTGATCTCTGCTGGATGATTTGACTTTATTATGTATTACCTAAAAATAATAACACACAAATATAGCGTATTTACAATATTTTTAAACTAAAATTGACAAATAGAAATCCAAAATAAATTTAATAAGTTTGGGCTTTGTACCTTATTGGAGTAACTCAATAAAGTCAATATTGATTTTATTAAGAATTCAATAGCAGTACAAAATAAGAAATAACGTAGTAATGTAATTCGCTATAGACACTTTGGCGTGAGAATAATTAATTTAAATACAATCTTCAGAATCAAATAAAAATCAATAACGTAGGCCATTTAAGCCATTATTTTTATTATTATTATTATGTATATAAACACACTAGCAGCTTAATAAGCTGATGCGCGTGTATTTTGAGATTTGGAGAAACTATCCAATCTATTTTTAAAGGAGTTCAAAGATGGTGCACTGATTACACTTTCCGGAAGCCTGTTCCATTTCCTCTTAGTTACTTCAGGAGTTCAATAAATACACGCATTATCTAACGAAAAAGAGGTGTTGCTAAAATCAGTCGCATCGTATATATAAAGTATTTGGAATCAAAAACCAACGGTGAAAGTTCCGCGATACATTATTTATAAACAAAAGCACTTTGTTAAATTTGTATGAACAGCGTAGGTCACCTACTTATCGGGTAATATTGATTTTTAAAGACGCCGAATTCGGTCATGATAAGATCGGGCAATGTGTTTCTTAATGCGCTGTCACTAAAAAAAGACGTATTCAAGTAAGTAATTACCTTCTACTCAACTATGTTCATTTAATCTAACTACAGGCGCTCACTTAATACCTGCAGCTGAGGTTTATAATTGGACGTCCAGGCAGAATACAACATTCTACCCGTAACACATCGACATCCGTCATTCCACACCTAAGCGTTTTTTAAGGCACTTTTTACCGCGCACCACTTCTATGTGGAACCAGCTAAAGTAATTAACGAACCAATACGACTTCAAAAAAAGAGCGTACCAATTCCTTAAAGGCTAGCAACCCACTTGCGAGCCTTCAGGCAGATGGACACTTGTCCATGGGCACTATTCAGCCACTTAACATCAGGTAAGCCTCCTGGATGTTTGCCTCGTTATATATAAAAAAATATATTATATAAATAAAGTGAAAGTCAAATCATTTATTCTAATTAGACCACCTAAAATGGCACTTTTAAACGTCAAATAAAATGGAAAGATGATTCTAGTTGCCCCTTCCAAAAGGTAGTTTCGTGTGGAGAAGAATGGGCAAGAAACTCCACACTTACTCTTTTAAATTAGGTTTTACAATATTTTGTAAACTATATAATATATATGTGAAGACAATGTACTTAATACGAAATATAAACCAATTCCTTAATAATAAGTCCAGTTTCTGTAATATTTCTAAAAATAGTAATAGCTCGTATCAAATCTTGCTTTTGATCACTAATTGATTATAAATTTATACAGGCAAACAAAGACTTTTTTATAAA